TGGCTCAAGGTCTCTCTGTCTTCCGACAGCTATGGCTTCTGGGTGGGCTAAACCGCAGAAAAACATAGCACCTCTGACGGTGAGCCGGCCAGTCATCAAGGAAGCAAACGGGGTCTGCCCGCCAACACATATGGGCCTGAGTCACGCCAAACTTCGACAGCTTCTCAGACAATGGCTCAAGGTCGATCTGTCTTCCGGCAGCTATGGCTCTGGGTGGGTTAGACCGCAGCACAACACAGCACCTCTGACGGTGAGCCGGCCAGTCATCAAGGAAGCAAACGGGGGTCTGCCCGCCAACACATATGGGCCTGAGTCGCGCCAAACTTCGACAGNNTCTCTGTCTTCCGGCAGCTATGGCTTTCGGTTGGGTAACCACTCTGGTCGACATCGGATCAAGACCACCTTCTCAGACGAGACAATGGGTCACTTCGGCAGTGGCTTCTGGACGCAGAACATCCGCGTAACACTGGCAACAGAGCTGAGGCTTCTGCCAGTACCTGTCGCTCCAGCAAGCCACTCCTGCATCCATCTTGCAGGCATTCATTACTGCGTCTTCCGATTTACTTGATCAACTTCCTTGGCCAGCGTGGATCACGTGCCAAGTCCCGACCATGCACACTCAGCCGAACTAAATCCACAGATATCCGCAGAAACGGCTTAACATCCGTGCGCAGATTCTCTGTGGTCTCACCGCGGCTCGCCTTAGAACGCCCAGAGGAAGCAACTCGTCCTGCGAACGTGGTTTGCTCGAGGCTCAAGGTTCGGAACTCGAAAATGGCCAGCTTCGTTTGGGGTCAGGTCTGCGGTGCTTCGACTGGACTCGGTCCATTCGTACAGCGCCGCGCACTCGCCGCGTAAGCAAGACGGACTACACAACCCCAGAAGTGTTCCCAAGAATCTATAAACTCTGAAACTCAATGCCATGGACTCTGCTTCTTCACAATCTGAGAAGTCTAAGCCCCTGAACCATCCAACTTCCCAACAAGAATCATGTGCGGCTACGAGTCTTTCAGAGCGCTAACCCCGGGGAAGCTAACTGTTAACTGAAAAAATCGGAGTGCGAAAGTGCGTGCATCCCGGATATCTTTACAGCCTGCAGTGTGAGAACCTATCCGTCCAGAATGCAAGGATTGCAGGTAGCCGCAAACCAACAACCATTGAAATCCCTAATATTCCCCTGACTCTTTGTGTGTCACTCTGGAAACCACTTGAAGAACGAACCTGCTCCACGCCCATCGCGCTCGCGCCTGGAGAGGTCCAGAGCTCTTCTTGCAGTGGATCTAGGGGCCTGCTCTACGACAAGACACGAGCTGGCAAGCAAAAGCCATTACGCCCCCGAAACCCTTAAAATGCCTCAGAGCCGTCAGAGCATGTCCAGTCCCTTTCCCCCATCGACGAAAACCAATGCACCATGATAGAGTGGTTTGTAGTGGTTTTGGGGTTCCTGAAAAGCGCAAGCCGCTGCAAGTCCCTTGTTCCAATCTCGGCGAGCTGCGGAGCCCGCCGCGGCGCCTCAAGCGAGAAAAAGAGTTCAGGTGACTCTTGTGCCCTGTTCGGCTTAGGTGCCATCTAGGAACTGGGGCAGATTTAGGGTTTCGACAGTGATTCCGAAGCCTTGCAGCCGCCTCAAACTCCGACAAGAGTAACATCTTCACACTAATGGATATGATGATATGATGATGCAAAAGACATGCTCGCACAAGTGTATGTTGCGAGGTATCCTTGCAACGCGTAATTGGCTGTTTCGCAACACCAGACATGCGAAACCAAACATGATCGTTACTGATTACAGCAGACATGAGTGGGCCGTCTGCGAAATTTGGGTCGAATTTTGTTCGGTTAAAAGTGTGGAGCCGACGTGCGCGCCTGTGGCCATAGCTGCGAAGGAGCCGCGCTCCGTGGGAGATTGCGAGGCGGAGTTCTACATCGAAGGCGAAGGTCCTCGTCAGGCGGACAGGAGCCATGACCATGAGCTCTCGCACGTCCCAAGCAGCACTCTTCTCTTCTCTCACCGAGCGAGCTCTAGCAGTCTGGTCCCAAGCAGCACTCTTTTCCCGAGCGCGCGGCGGGTAGTGCCCGGGCCCTGCCATGGCGACGGCCTGAGGGACCCATGCAGAAACCGCAGAAGCTGCACTAGGTCACTGGTTCTACAACCGGTGGGCCCCTCTGCCTTGTCAATGGAAGAAGGGCTGGATAAGGCCAGGAACTCCCCGTGGCCCGCCTGTGCGTCGATGCGACGATGCGGCGATGCCCATGCAAGCCGCAGGCAGCCGCAGGTTGCGAGCGGCCTCCGCAGCCTCTTCGAGAAGCCAGCGGTTCATCGCTCGGCCCGCGCCGAGGCCGACGATGGACGTGGAGAACTCACAAGATCGGGCAAAAGTGGTGCAAAGGTGCCTGGCGGCATCGCTGAACACAGTCAAGCTGCTCCAGCAACCTTTGCCGCCGCGATGGAATCGAGGAACGCATCATCTGAGATGGGCGGGTTGATGCCACATGACTCATCAAACCCAACCGCTCAGCCCAAGAATCTTCTTGAAGATGGCCCCGTGAAGAGGCCATCCGAGAACACCATCGCCTTCCTGGAAAGTCGGAGTTTCTCCGTGTTTTCTCGCCTTTGCCTTTGCCTCTTTTCAGTACTTGGAGCGGCCTGGTCGTGTTGGTGCGCGGCGTGGCCAGCGCGCCCACAAGGATATGCCTGGCCCGGCACGCCGTGATCCGCGGTGCTACCCAAGACTTCTGCACAAGCTCAGCTGCCGGATGCCAAGGGCCCGGCTCTGCGAATCGCAGTCCATCACTGATGTTGCTAATGTCCTCCCAATTTGTTGCCCAAGTTTGCACACGCACACACACACACACACACACACACACACACACACGCTCTCACTTGATATTTGTCGCCAACCCCACCGATGCCCGAATTCCCACGTTCTTCGGCATAGGTCATGCTCTGCTATTTGTTTAAAGGAGCTTCAGGTTTCCTGGTCGACACGGCTGCCGTCGATTTGTCCTCAGCTCAGGCCCCCGACCAGCGAATGTAAGTCCGAGCCCGAGTCTAATTGTCTGAAGTTTAGGGAGAATCGTCACAAGAATTCCGCGCTTCCCAAAAGGGCGTAAGTCGAGTGCGCGAATAAGGCCGTGGCTTGTTGCCGTGGCTGACTTTGCAGACAGCTGCCGCAGTTTTTGAAGCAGCTGCTCCTGTCAGGCAGCGTAGCGGCACGGCCCGTAAGATCGGTACCAGTCTCGTTTCGTACCGGTTAGGAGCCGCTGCGCAAGTTATGATGCCCCGAATTCTACGCTAGTCACTCCTTCAGCCATCCACTACCTCCCATTCCCGCCTTCATCTCGAGGCTGCCGTGCTGGAACTCTAGTCTCGCGAAGCTCTGACAAGAGATCAGATGGATCCTGTGAGCTCCAGGGTGCCAGGGACCGCCGCAAATCCCAGAAGGCGAAACAAACAGAGGGCAGAGGCAGAGCTTCTCTCGCCACCCCTCGCCCTTCTGGCACCTCTCAAGTCTCAACACATCGTGCAAAGGTCCAAGGTCACCTCGGAATACAGTATAAATGCACGTCAGAAGCTTCGAACTGGAATCCCCTCAGCAATTCCAAAACTTCCGGGCTGTACTGTAAGTCCTGTCTTCCGGTCTTAGAGAGCGGATGATTCTCTCTGCCACTGCCTCGTCCAAGGAATACATCGGCTAACCCAAGCACTGCGCGCTTGGAGGATATGCCCCTCGTGATGATCTTTACTATACGTGCTACCAGATGCTTTCCACTAGCTAGCAACCAGCCTTTGCCAAGTCGAGCTTTCCCCCTTCTGCCATGGACAGCGACACGTCCAGGAGAAGGGCAAGTTCCTGCATCGGCGTGCAGGCGATCAGGGCAGGACTCCAAGTCGCCCAATAGCGTGAGGCGTCTGACCACGCAGTTTAGAGAGACGGCATCTATGAACTTCTCTGAACGTGGCCTGTGCCGGTGGCCGACCCGTGACCTGGCCAATGCCGCAAAAGGGCAGCAACAACAACAACCATCATCTTTGCAGCCCCGAATCGTTGCAGCTCCACGCTCCCAGCACTTTTTGGATTCCTTGCTAGCATCTACACCAGCCTCCAGCAGACAAAGGTCGTCAACTCTCGACAAGAAGCTGTTACCTCTTGAAGTCTTGGCGGCGACTTGTCGGCACGGGACACGAGAAGCGAATGCCGTGGCCTTCTGAAAAAGCTTTTTCAGTGTAGCGGCACCGCCGTTGTCTGTGGGAATAGTTGTCCCGCAACATGAACCTGGTCTTTCGAGAAGCCATTGTCAGCGCCACGATATCATTACTGGTCAGATTCTTGTCGGCGCCGGCCTCCAGCAACAAATTCAGGCCTTCAACTTGCCATCGACGGGAAGCCATCATCAGGGCAGCGATGAGATCATTCATGGTCAAGTTCTTGTCGGCACCGGCTTCCCACGGCAAACGAAGAATTTCCACATGGCCTTCTCGATAAGCCAAGATCAGGGCTACAGAGCCGGAGTGGCAGTTGGCTGTAGATCTGTGCCCGCCATCCTGGGATGCAGTTGAAGTCCAAGCCGCTGAGGTTTGCCGGGCTCAAGGGGATGAATTGGGAAAAACGAGCCTTAGATATGCAGCCAGTTCGCGATTGCCGCCTGAACCGTTTGGACAAGCCGGCCGCTGCCTCAACACTCTCTCACGTTGCTCAGATCAACTGCATGCTCGCCACGTCTTCCCTGACAGCATCCCGCCGCGACATAGAATCCTGAAAAGCTGCTGTCCACACTGCCAGGAGACAGGCTGCCCATGGCAAGCACCATCTCTGTTTTCAGATGACCAACCGGAAAAGCATTCCGGCTGTGCATTTCCTATCTGCCGCGTTTCATACTTTCTAGTAAGACAAACTGACTGCCTTCCTGCCTCTCTTGAATGGCAGTCGCCAGTATGTGTGTCTGCAATCACAATCCCCGGATTAGGATTCAATGTGCAAGGGTGCTGTTCAACTGCTCACATTAGCATTCTCCAGCCTCCGGTGCCAGGACATCCAAGACCACGGCTTGTTCTGTCGCTCCTGGAAAGTCTTGGATTTCTGCAAAGATTCAGAGATCCGTGTTTAGGAGGTTATCAGCCCGTCTCCGAGCAATTTCTTTGGCCAAGCCAACATGTCGCCAGAGCCCAAGTACTGGAAGTGTCAACAGTTCTCCAGACTCAGCAGGAGCGCCAGTTACTGTGATCTCACCAACGATAAACCAAAATCAAGCCGTTAAACTTATGATTTGGCCAACATGCTGCAAGTAGGCCTCACTGCTCAGACGATGGTGTGCAATTGTTGGCTCATGACAACAACGACTCCTATAACAGTGTCTCCTGTCGTCGTTGATTGTGTTATCATTATCTTTGGAACGTCATGAGCATCACGATCACCAAGGGGACGAAGTTGCTTTGGACGACATGAGGATCAGGACCGCGGTGATAGTGATGATTCATGCTGAGGATGAAGGCCCCCAGAATGGCACATTGCTGTCGATGGAGCACAAGATGACCATGGTGGTGATGACGATTGTGGTCAGGAGGGGGTATGATGATCCTATGATGAACCTGATGGCGATGACGACCATCGAAACGATCTCAGTACCAGCAGCAGCAGTAGCAGCAGCGGCAGTGGGAGTGGGAGTGGCAGTAGTAGGCGCCCCCCTCCCCCCTACCAACCACCTCTCCTTAACACTGTTCTTGCTGGGGCGTGGTGCGGGGGTTGGGGGTGGGGGGTCGGGGAGAGGGGGAGTGGGGGTTGGGAAGGGGATCATGATAAACATGGCAGTTATTTCGCCGCCATTCTGGCTTGCGCTTAGGGTACGCGAGTCAGACATTCTGCGCCCGCGCGATGATGTTGATGATGATTGTTCCTTGCGTATTCTACAGTTTTTGCGGCTCAGAGGGACCGTTTTCTTGCCAGCATGCAGCTAACTGCTTCGCCACCCATGTGTTCACGCCTAGTGGGTGCCCTTTCCTCCGTACTGTTCCCCGCTCGCCTCACGGTTTAAGCACCAGCACACGTGGTTGGTAGGGGGTGGGGGCGGTGGGGGCGTGGCTTCTAGTAGCAGCAGTAGTGGTGGTAGTAGTAGTAGTAGTAGTAGTAGTAGTAGTAGTGGTAAGAGTAGTAGTAGTCGTCGTCGTAGTAGCAGCAACAGCATAGGAATGGCGGGGATAAGAATATTAGTCGCAGTCGCGGTGCTAGCACTTGTACGAGGGACTAAGAGGAGGCGTCGTAGTGGTGGTGGTTGTCGTAGCAGCAGCAGTAGCAAGTAATCATGCCAACACTTTTGTCATTGGGTATGCTTGTGTTCCAGGTCTTGCCAATCCGTTTATCCACATGTAGCCTTTTGTGTACATGTTGTGCAGCTCGTTGACACAGCATCTTTCTGCAATTGGAGCAACCTGATGTTGACGTCTGACGCGGGGTCACTTGCAGCCACTGCATGCGCAGTGTGGAAACCTGGATGAGCTGGAACCGTACACTCTGAACTTGGAGTAGCACTTGCTGGCGGGGTCTTGTCTCCAGCACCTTCACCCTTGATCAACAGTCCCCCCGAGGCCTCCGCCTTCGTGAGAACGGTCAAACTCATCATCATTGATCATGATTGACATTGATATTCGTTTAAGCAGAAAAGCTGGCATACAGTACCCGTGCCCCATGAAGTGTTTTGTTAGCTTTGACACAGCCGCCAAGGGCGCACATGCCCTGGTTTTTCTATGCCGTGGAGCGTTCGTCAGGATTCGCTTCAGAGATGTCGATCAGACCCACAGCTTCCGTGTTGCGTGCAAGTGGGCATGCTCCACTGGAGATTCGCGCTGTGAACGTTTTGAGTGCCGCAGGCGCTTGCAGGCTCTTTGCTATCCTCTGCATCTCTGAATTCCTCTGCCAGGCAAGGCTCTCGCCCAGATAAAGGGACTTCATGCTGTAAGGCAAGTGACTAGCACTTTGGTCACCAACATTTCTGGCTGCGAATCTGTAACTTTGTGCATAGATTGTCCTGTTGGTTGATTTGATATGACGTGATGTCAGGCAACACACCGTGTTCGGGTAGCAACTTGACAATTTTCCAGCGTAGTCAGTTTCAATGGCATATGCAAGTGTGGTCTCACTCTATATGGTTTATGGTTTAAAACTCGTTTCGAATTGGAGACTCGGATTTAGACGGCGGTCAGGCCAACGTCCTTTTGGATACACACCCCCGCCAGATGCTCCGATCCAGCTGCGCCAAGAGCAAGCCATTTTGGCGCACAATCCTGTGGCGCCAAGCGACTGCCTGGCTTCCACGCAGTGTCCACCCCGCACCTTCATGAAAAGGAGATTGCGATTCACGGGCATGCTCGCAAAATCTTGAGCCTGAGCACGTGTCGTGTCCGAGGTCAACGAAAGCTAGCCCTGTTTAGCCACTTGAGTTCAAAAGCAAGGACGTTTGATGTAAGCCTCCACACGAAATCTGCCCAGCGATGTTTGTTGCAAGAGTAGTGAACACAACCGAAGGGGTAGCAAGAACGGAATTATTGCAAACTGCGGCCACGCTGACAATGAGCAGGTAAGATCACGCATCACGACCCCGTTTGCTCAGTCGCCAACACAGCTTCTGCAGCTGGATCTTAGCTGCTTCTCGCGTGTCCTGCTGTTGCTCGTGTTGGCCTCAAGCTTTGTGACTGTGCTTCGGTCTGTCCTGCTCCAGAGCCTCATTTTTTGCACGCTTCTTGCACAACAGCACCTTCAGTTCAATCTTGAACCACAAGCTCTTCAGGATTGCGGACCGATCAAGACAAGCTGAGAGACGAACGCCCGCAATGCAATCAATGAGAGGACTTCGTGGATGAAAGCACTCCTCTGCCATCGCACCAGCAGACAGCGAATCACTCTTTGCCTGTGCATGCCATTGATGGGTTCCGTGTGTCCTCAAATTCGGGCAGCTCCTCCAAGCCACCACCCTGCTGATGCAAACGCATGTCACTGGCTTGCTCGCAATGTAATGGACATGGCAACTGGGCATGGTCCACCTTGGAAGAGTTGCGGGGTGACAGCTGCTTCTCCAGAAATGCCTGTTGACGTCTTCTTGTTCGGAGGCATGTCTGATTCTGACAGCGCTGCCGAAGACATGCCCGACCTCGCAGTAGACTTTCTGGCTTCTCGTGCCCGTGGTGTTACCTTCGAAGATGGGCCTGAACGGGCGCAAAGTTTTTTCGTGGTCGAAGTCGACAGGCAAAGGTCCTGACCTCTCCGACAGGATCACTTCGCCTGCCTCATTTTTCAAAGTACGAAGCTTCGCCTTCCCAGAAGAGAGAAACCAGCGGGCCTTCAAGGCGCAGCTCGCCTGCAGGAACCGCCTAAGCACACGCTGCGAAGCTGTGTAGATTCAGGCCTTGAGAGGCCTTGAGCTGAGAGCACTGCCCCTTCTCTCCATCGTCCACCTCGAGTTCGAGTTGGCTTTTGCTGCAGGTTCACCACAATTGCAATCCGGAGCCTGCCTTCAGCTGCACTTTGTTCGACGTCTTGGCCACGTACTTCTGAATCTGCGAGAAGAGAAACATCCAAAAACATGCTGTCTCGGGACGACATGTTTCTCAAGCCAGGTTACATGGACATGCTTCGCTCGGACGGACTTTATGTTCTTCGGAAAACGCCGTCAATGCTCTGCTACTGGAAGCTACTGCGTTTGTTTACCTCCATCACTCGGCGCCATTCTCAAGGCCTCTTACTCTCGACAGGCCCAGCTGCGCCATGGCATGTGCTGCCGCTGCGCGAACCATGGGCACTTCATCTGTCTGGCAAGACTCGATCTCGTCAGCAAAGGCTGCTCCGTAGTCGCCAAACTTTCCGAGTGCCTCGCAGGCAGCTGCCCGAGCGTGAGGGTCCTGGTTTCCGAGCTCTCCAGCAATGGCACTTGCGTAGCCCTGTCCCACGGTGTCCATGGTTGCCAAAGCTCGCAGCGCTGCTGCTCGAACAACACCGTACTCGTCCTCTAGGCACTTGAACACCTGCGAGCAGTACTTCTTGCCAATGTCGGGACAGCTTGCCAAAGCTTCCAAGGCAGCTTCTCGCACTGAGGGCGCTTCATCTTTGAACAAATCAGGAAGATTATCCATCACGTCTTGAGCTTGGAGGGCTGCGATGGCCTGGCAGGCCTTCAATCGAACGATGTACACATCATCTTCCATGGTTGCCATGATGCTTGTCGATTGCTTGCTTGCAGCATCACCCATCTCCATGAGTGCCTCCAGAGCACATAGCCTCACCTCGTAGGCCTTGTCTCTTAGGCACATGGCCATGTCTGACACATGGCTGCTTGCGTTCATGAGGGCAAGAGCCGCTAGTGCAGCGCATTTGGGACGGCGAAGCGTAGCCGGTGACCTGAGACTTCCTCCGCCAACTGCCAGGTAGCTCTCCGAGATGTCTTCAGCATCATCCGAGAGAAGCTTTGCTACTTCCGATGCATGGGGAGATGCTGAGGGACCTAACTTTCCAAGGCTGAGGGCGGCAGAACAGCGAATTCCCGGATCTGCATCCTTCAGCAACGTGGCAATGTAAGGAGCTCCTGCTTGGGAGTTAAGGACGGGCTCACTGGCAGCTGCCAAAGTGTTCGCGGCAGCTTGTCTTGTCAAGCTGTCCTTGTCCTTGAGGCAGGAGGTGATCTCTTGAATGTACTTTTGCACGACTCCACTGCCCAGCTTTCCAAGGGCACTGACTGCAGCGAAACGAGTCTTTGGGTCCTGAAGCTTTTTGGCTATGCGTGGGGCTTCTTGCACGCCTTGGGGAAGGTAGCCCAAAGCTTGGCATGCTGCTGCAACGACAGCAGCAGAGCTGTCGTCCAGGTACTTGGACAGTGTCGTCGCCTCACTCTCGGCACCGACAGCGCCCAAAGCTGCGATGACGGCAGCTTGCGTTGGCTCGTCCAAGGATCGCATCAAGCAGGTTGTCAAGTGGCCCTCGTATGCAGCAGCTTGCTTTCCGAATTGAGCCAAAGCTGTTGCAGCAGCTTGACAAACCTCTGGGCTTCTGTTCAAGCCTGATGCTATTTGCGTCATGTACTTCATGCCTTCCTGTCCCATGTCACCCAAGGCTGTTATCGCTGCTGCAGCCACCTCATCATTCCGATCATGGACCATAGTTCCGACTGTGGTGGCATAACCCATGTCTGCAGCTGCCTTCTCTCCTCTGCTGCCCAAATCCAGCAGCCACTGCACAAGCTCTTCGGGTTTGTGCGTGTTCTCGCTCCTTTGCAGGGACTGCTCTTTCACGAACCTCGTCAGCTTATCCATGCTCTTGAGGTGAGCGTCCCACCGCCTTCTCTATATACGCATGAGGGCTAGGGCCTGCCTTGAGCCACGAGGCGCGGATGGCGCGGCACTGCTCGCAAGACAGCTTCGAGTATGCAAGCAGATGATGCAATTTGCAAGACTTCTCATCGAGCCTCTTCGAAAGCAAATGCCTCGCAGTTTCACAAAGATCAGGTGGAAAAGCCAAATTGAAAGCTGATCTCCAACTCGATGGCCTGGTTCTGTGAGAGCGTTGCTGAGAACATGGCTCAGAACAGCTGCAATCAGAATGTCTTGTGCTCTCGCGCGGCCTTACAATTACCGCTATGGGCCTTCGCTTGGACTCATACGACCTCTCACCTGTGACAAGTGACACAAACCCCAACACCCCACTACACCCGATCACGACAGAGCAAAAACGTCAAAGGTCGTGGTGCTTCGGATATGCACAAGTGCTTTGATGCACAAGCATTACCTCTTGCCGACAATGCAGCTCACACAGCTCTGCGTGTTTTGTATGGACTGCAGTGCAATCTCGCAGCTGTATCCAAGCACGTGGGAGAGCTGAGCGGGAGGCCTCTGCAAAAGGCGAAGAAAGGAGCTCGGACCTTTCAGGCTGATTTGCCTGACCTCCAGAAGTCTGCTGCTCTGTTCCTGTTGACAGGCCAGAACAGACAAAGCGTGAGGAGAAACTGATGATGCCACTGACCAGGTTGTAAGGTTTAACGACCCTGCTGTCTACAAATGGCAGTACCAATGGCGTTCAGCTTCTCCCCATTCCACGATCACATGTGCACCCAGAAATTGCCACTGGCGTCCACAGCATCTTCGCTTAGGCATTTCTATCTGATTCTCTTTCTGGTACATCAGCTCGCTGCCAGACCACAAAAAGCGAGTGGCAGCTTTTGGGAACAGCAGGTTCTGTATCCCCGACGAACCGAAAACGACTGTACAGCGAGGAGCTACTACGACCCTGGCCCAGATTCTGGTGCCTCTGACCCTCTCAGACTGGGCGTAGGGCAGCTCTGGTCGTTATCGCTACACCGCAGCTTGTTGATGCCAGGCCTTCGTGGTTGCACACCGCACCATTCCAAGAAAGGAGCCCCAAACCCTCTTCCGAGGTGTCGGCAGCTCCTTCAGCTGCTCAGGAATTCGGCCCAATTGCTCCGGCAATCGACGGAACATGTCGCCGACATCTTGTGAGAGCTGAGGATGAGTTGCCCAATAGTGAAGTGCCAGTGGCAAAACCACCTGAGATCTCAACAGCTTGTCGGAAACAGCAGGCTTTGGCACGGCTCCAATGTTTTTCTGAGATGGACACTGTTAGCAACGGATAGAGCAGCAGCAGCGCAGACTTCCCTCCTCTTCCGTTCATTCCCCTGCCATCGTGGGGGGGGGGGGGTCAGCTACCTCCCGCTTCCTCTGCATGTTGCTCTCAGGGTTTCAGAAGTTGAGGAGCTGTCAGATGCATGTGAGGAAGTGGAAATGGATATTTCAATTTGTGACGCTGTCGTGCCTGGGTGGGCAGCATGTGCAAACCAAGAGCCATAGCAGACCTGAACGACAATGACACTGAGACACGCGACATGTCATTACATGGCTGACATTCGTGCTTGGACCGCCAATGCTGATGTGCAATGCCTTGCCTAGGTTTGACACCACGGAGTTCAGGGGAGCATACGTCCTCGTCCACATGTTAAGCTCGAGTAGATGCGACAGCTGCACCTTGTGCCTCGCATGTTGCAAAAGTTACGCGTGCGCGTGTGTGTGTGTGTGTATGTATGTATGCATGGATGTATGTATGTATGTATTTATTTATGGATGTATGTGCATAAATAGGTGCGTATGCACATGTGTACGACGTAGATACGACATACATACGTGCATACATGCATACATACATAAATACATACATACATACATACATACATACATACGTAACTAAAATACTACCTAAATACATGCATACATAACACGGATACATGCATCACACCATTACGTAAATTCATACATACGCAACTACATGCATACAGCATACATGCATCAAGTTTTGACTTGTGCACTCGTCTAGAGACCTGTTTACAATATTTTGCAAGGACAGGCAGTCCTGAGAGCAAACAGGGGCACGAGGACGCACAGAATGAAGCCTGTCGCCTCCAAGTTCAGTCAGTGGCCGTGGCAATCTGTGGCAGTATGCCTGGTCACCTTTGACTCAGGTGGCGACCATCAAATGCCACGCACGCTTCACCGGTGCCACAACCTTGGCACGAAGGATTGCCAAAGTGCGCATCTCTGGGCCCTATGAGATCTTCACAGACATAGCGTTGGAGCAGGACGGTTTCATGGACAGCCGTGGTGAGGTGTTCTTGGCTCCTGCATTCTTGAACACTTGAGGCGAATCTTTGCCTCTTCCCTCCGGCTCCTTGCAGCGAAGCTCGCCCCGGTAGAAGCTGCTGCAGCACTTCCGGTCCTTAGCGCTATCGGAAGAGGATTCCTCTCCTCAGCTCCTGTTCCTCATTGCCTGAGATCTATCCTCTCCTGTTGCGGTGAGCCTTAGCCGAAGACTGCACTACGTTGCCCATCGTGTCCGTCGCAGCTCGTACCAGGTGTGGCACCTTCCAAGCTGCTAACTTGCGACTATCAGAGTTCAACTGCTGCCTACAACATGCTACATCGACTTTTTTGCAGGCTGAACCGCGGCACCAAGTGCAGAAATGTAGTACTGCCCCTGCAAGATGCCGCTGCCGCTGGCACTCGTGCCGCCCTGCCTGCTCTCGTCCACTTTGAACTACAGTTGCAGCTCCACGGCCGAGGTCCTTGACGTCATTGCCAACCTAGCTCCATTCGGCAAGCTAGTTGACTTGTAGCTAGTTGTAGCTGGAGTCAGAAAGTCAGAGAGACACAGAACAGAGAGAGCGAGAGAGAGAGAGATAGAGAGAGTGAGAGAGAGAGGCGGAGAGCGTCAGGATAAACGAACGAAAGGATCGGAAACGAACGTGTAAAGCACATACCTGGACATGCCCGATGTGGGTGCTGAAGACTTGGGGTTTTGGGGACGACGTCCGAGAACAGACTGTGGTGATTAAATACAACCAGTAGGCTCTCACCCTGTTCCATCTTCTGGCTCCAGTGCTCTCGACTCCAGTGAAAGGTCCTCAGAGCCTGGACTCAGGGCCCGAGCCTCAACGACCTCGTTCTTCAGCGTGCCAAGTATCTCAGGCAAAAGAGGAAAATCATAGACCTGACGATGACTTCTTGGCCTTTTGAGGCAGCAACTCCGTGCTTTTTGACACTGTACTTAGTCACGTTGACCTCATCCTGGACGACATTGCATTGACTCGAGTCTTTTCTTATGCATCACCGCTGCGTCGAACACTCCGTGGAGTAAACTGAGAGGTCCTGGAAATACTCTTGCCACGATCGGACTTCGAAGTATTGCTCTGCAACGACCTGTCAGTAAACTTCAGAAACGCCCCTGCGCTTCCACTGTGGACTCCTCTGCGACGGTCTTCCGCTAACCAGCGCTACGAATCTCGCAAGTGCCTCGCTACTTTCCAAGGCTGCATTTCCCAGCAGTTCTAGCTCCTGGCATCGCAGTGGCAGCATTTCTGAGGTTTTGGGCTTCTCACCTGCCGGCCGCTCCTCATCACGGCCGTTCTGGCTTTGGAAGAGCTCCTTAACTTCTCGATATGACTCCCCAGAGGCGACGAGCCTGTTCAATCTCTGCAGGGACGGATCGAAGTATGCTGCCATGGTTAGTAGAAGTTAGCACACCGCGTGCCTCAAGTACACATCACAGATGTCTGAGGTCGTCATGCTGCCTCCATTGCACAAGAGCATAAGTCACTTGTTTTCGCCTATCTGACCTTGTCTGTGTGTCTGAGCTCCAGGTGCCAGGCCTCCCGCCTGCCGTGCAGCGATCCCTGAGCTGGTGCTCTCGCTCTTTCCTACGGTGGAGAGTTGCGGCCCTCTTTCTTTCTTTCTTTCTGCCGGGCTTAGGGGTCGTCTAGCGACCCTCAGGCCTTCGGCCAGCCCGACCACCCAATGTTTTATGGAGTGGCCGGCATCGGGGTCCTAATGACCGCTGCAAAAGAGTTGTGGCCCTTTTTCTGTCTCTCTCTCTCTCCCCTTTTTCTTTCTTTCTGCCGGGCGTAAGGGTCGCCAAGCGACCCGCAAGCCAGTGGCTGGCCGTCCCCCTCACTGTATGTGCGAGTGGACGGCTTTTGGGGTCGCTTGTAGTGCTATCTACCAACACAGTTGGCCCCGATCGGCACATGCTGCAAGCCCTCTCCTGAACACTAGTCACTCACACTCTCATTCACTCCTCACTCTCACGCTGAGACTCTCTCTCTCTCTCTCTCTCGCCATGCATCGTTTTCAGAATTTCAGAAGCCAAGCCCGAGCATCCCGGCGCTGCTGCAAAGCCACAGTGTCCGCTTTTACCCGGTCGACTGCCTTGAGAACCTCAGTGTTTGGCAACATTGCCGCTATGGAACTCAGCACGGGTGCTGCCGAGTTTTGTTTCGAGTGTCTTGCGCATGTGAGTCTCGCAGGCAGTTTTTCTGACGCTTCAAGAGAGAAGTTGATGAGAGTTGACGTTGCGCCAAACCCGAGATGCGGACCATCTCACGCGTGATTCGGCCTGCGGGTGGGCTTCGCACGAAGGAGCAGCGGAATGAGCTGCATGCGAACTCTGCCTGGCGTCGGGGGAGCTCTTGCCGGCACCAGCTCCCTGGACTGACCTTGCTGTGGATAAGGAACTTGCACCAAAGGCGGAGACTACCCAGCAAATGAATTGAAACTGAGTGGTCTGCTGGGTGCTGGAAGACTGCTTGTGGACCCGCTAAGTTGCGTGGCCGGTGCAACCTCGATTCATGGCCAGACTCGGAAACGTCACAAACGGAAGGTAAGCAGGCCATAATGCGAAAGAAAAGTCGGCTCACAAGAACCATGTGGAGCATGCACCGAAACTGCATGTTGCGATCGCCTTGCAATCCATCTGCTGCCGGCCTGTCCTGCATCGACTTGGACTTTTGCCGATGGCGCCCTCTGTCTAGAGTCTTGTGAGTCTTGTGAGCACGATGGGAAGTGGATCTGGGTCCGAACGTCGAAGCTGCTCCCATCTCGACAAGCACCATCGGAAGCCCTGGGAACCGTCTTGCGAGCTCTCCCTGAATCTCCGCGATGTGCAGGCGCGAAGACAACGGTCGGCCACCCGAGTCAACTTCGCTCCGCCATGCTTCGTCCGCTCAGCCTGGAATTTGTCCACACAACAGCAGGTCTTTTCACGAAGTTCGACGGCTCACAAACGGCAGGACGCGGCGCTGCACCGTCTGATTCTTGTACGTTCGGGAAGCCCAAGCAGCAGTGTGCTCTTGGAGCTCTGCTCCTGGCGTCACGAGGAAATTCATCAGTTCGGCCTTCATCGTCATTTCAACGTCCTGAGTGCGGTCCGGACACGAGGACACTGTGGGGCTGGGGTTCTGAAGGCAGCTGAGGCCTGGGCCTTGCTCGCTTCGGTCGCGAAGTTGAAGAAAGTGGTGCGGATAGACCAGAGACTTGCAAAGACCCCCTTCTCAGTGGGTTCAAAGCCATACTTTGCAACGATGGGCATCTGCAGTGGCAGACACACCTCTCGCTTGGCTTTCTGTTGGTGCGCCCGTTTATTGCCGGCAGCATTCCACGCTGCTTCCAATTTTCGCTGAAACCCTTCGTCCATGTACACCTACGCAGGTGCGCAGCGATTTACTTCGTGAAGTTTAGGCCTAGACCGTGACATCAGCAAATTCCCCGGACCCTGGATGCCCTGGCCTCCAGCAAATCATCGTGCATCATGATTGCTTGTTGGCGCGTCAGCTTCACGTCCACTGACTTCTCGCAAAGCTTCGATGTTTTGCTCCTAGCTCAAAGGCAACTGCGATTCTGATGCGTCAGGAGCGTAAACCTGTCTGGTGCTGGATCAACCCTGACAGACTTGCCAGTCACGCCGGCTTCAAATGGTCAAAACTTTATCTGACAGTGAAATATCTGCGCAGTGCATGAAATCCACCAAACACGAATTGACCAAACCGGTATCTTACATCAAAACACAAATAACCTAATCTGCGCCGTAAGTTGAAACCAACAGCAACTCATCATGTGGAAATCAAGGAGCATCGACATCCAGGAAGACATGGTGACTACAAAGCCGAGGTGTGGAATTCAAGGTAAAAGCGGCATGAAGAACATGTGAGACCAGCATCCAAGACGTTTTCTAGTATGGTGGACAACACCTGCTTCTCCCACACAACGTCAATTCAGCTCACCTCTGAAGTATGTGGTTGTTGTGACCAATTTCCCGATGAATTTCAATTGTGCGCTTGTGCAGAGAGCGGATGGCGTGACCGAGGATGACATTCGTATTCTTAAGCATCTTTTCCAAGTCGCTGTTGACAAAGCATTCGTCGTTATTCACGTGCTGAAACACATTTTGACTGTCGCCAGACTCGCGCCTTACGCGCCCGCCCTCCCCTTTTGAGTTCTAAGGGAATGGGCTTTGGTGTTGTCTGCAAAGGCCCTCGCCTGCTCAGGGCAGTAGGCCAGGCAAGAGGGGGTCGATGCTCGCGTCGCGCGTCTGCCTCCGTAGCGGGGTGCATAGTTCGCGCTGACGTGTTATTGTTTACAGAGGATTCGTTTGCCGCACGCGCCCGGGGCCCAGGATTCAGTGTAAATACTACGACATGGACCACTTTTGGCTCTCGACCACTACTTGGGGGAAGGCACGTGAAGCATGGTTTGACTGCGCCAATAGTTGGGGAAAGCATGTTAGCATGTCCTGGTGGTTTTCTATGGTGCTCCTGGTGGTCTCGAAGTGGTGTCCTGGTTGTCTCTTGGTGGTCTCCTTCCTTGGTCGTTGTCGTCCAGGTCGGCGTGGTCGTTCTAGTGGCATGCTTCTGGTGTTTTATTCTCAGAGCGGTATTGTGCGCAACAGGGACCAGAGCCTGCATGTGGAGAAACTTCAATTTGTTCTATGAATGTTCTGTGAGGACGCAAGGTTTGAGTCATTGTCTCAGTTATGAAAGAAGAATGTCGCGACGAGCAGGCGCGAAACAAGAATGTCATTACCCTCCCCCTCCCGTGTTTGTGCTGCTTTGTTGTACGTGCACATCGTGCACCACGTTGTCGTCTTTGTTTCTGTCTTTCGATCTTAGTTTCGGAGTTTGAAGCTTTTTGAATATCGTTTTGTTTGCATTTGGGGTTCGGGATTTAGGCTTCAGAGCTTTGGGCCTGGCTTAAGGGTTTGCCTTCTTTGCAGCCTCAAATGGAATGCATGGTCATGTCTTCGAAGGAATATGAAGGAATGAACCTAGGACGGAAGCTCTTAGAGCAACTGACATTGTGCGGAACGTCGATCTGTTCACGAAGGAGTCTGTCGTTCCGTGCATCGAGCCTGAGGCAAGGGCTAGAAACCCCGGCGGTCCTCGCATCGCTCATTTGCTTGACCACCTCCAGAAACTGTGTAGAAGAGCTGCCCAGAGAGTTGCGATGCCTCAGAGGCGAGGTGAGAGGCAACCTCACTCAAGACGTGGCGAGTGGCAAAGACTCCGTGGGCTCAGCTCGGGGCTCAGACTCCATGGCATCGGCAATGGACGACCACCAGGGTCCTTCGGCACGCAGATGTCTGAGGCCTTCCAAGCTCAGCGGATGGCCAGGGACAGAGAGCCAGTGAGAAGCAGTGCAGGATCTCCAGGCCAGGTCCGGGCAAGCAGCGCCATATGTCAAGCAAGCGGTGTTCAACTGTGGTGGCTCCGAATCTTTGCCACTGGTCGTGGCTCCTAGACACAGGATGAAGCGGTTTCCTGAACGGGTGGGAAAGCTGCGTTGAACTCGCTCGGCGGCGAAGCACCTACAAATTGACTGACAGCTGATAGCGCGCCAGTCCGATGCTGTCTCTCCGCAACTCTTGCCAGTCTTGCCGCTCACCCTCTCAAAGGAATTCACTTTACTGAAAAGATCCATATCATCAATCACGACGAGGCCTGCATGCATAAATTGCCGCTCCAAAACAACCAGCTCCTCCAGCAGAGGGACTTCCGAAAAGGCACCGCCTGTCACTGAACCCGAATAATGTGCATCGAGGTAGAAAACAGCTGGGCCCATCAGGCCAGGCAGGATCTTCTCCAGCACATGTGCCGAATGTCCAAGGTGAAAATGAATCGGATGCGCTGCCTTCCAAGATGCCATTTTCGCGGCCTCGAAGAGCTTCAGGTCCACTTCTATTGTATGGAGCTCATCAAAGTGCGATGACAGTGCGACCACAGTTTGACCCAAAAAAGTACCGGTTTCCACGAACCTTCGAAAATGACGGCAGTGAAATCCACGCTCTTCGCACTCATCAAAGATAGCCTCCAGGTCTGCCAGAGACAAGGTCCAGTTCTCTTCTTGAAGCTGCGCGCTTGCCCCACCATTTGGTTTCATGCCAGCTGTTACAGGGAACCCATACTGAGTTACTGCTCGAAGGCCTGAGCCCACAAGGCGGCTTTCCAACGAGCTGAGCTCTCTGACAGCACTAGTGTCCCATGCAACCCAGCTCTACACCCGCATGTTGTGAAGCGGGGGACTGGGACGGCAAAACCCGAGCTAGACAAGAGCGGTTGCCAGCAATCCCACACACGAGATGTGGACAGCCCAAGCCCGGTACTATCGGCGCAGGCTGAAGATCCTTCAGGCCAGCATGAACGTGGACCCTGGCACATGGATCACGCTCCAAACGTCCCTTTTTCAAGAGGATAAAGCACTTAGCAATGCCAGGATTTCTGAACAGAGCTTCTTCAACATGTGCTGATGGAAGGCTCGCTTTAGCCACCGATTGTCAAGTGTTGATGCCTGCTTGGTCGTCACTGATACGAATACCCAACAACGGTACAAGCACGGCAGGCATCGTCCGCGGGCTTGGAATACTTTTTGAACTTGCCGTTGTTTAATGTCCGCCATGCTCGTCAACAATCAGCCAGTCCTTTTTCCCAACTGTTGTCTGGCGGTGCATGCTGGGTTTTGAAGGTGCGACGGATCTTTGCCTCGCCACTTGCTAGTCGGAGCGTCAGCTGAGCCTCGTGTATGCATTGGTTTGTTGTAGGAACTTGTTTCAACAAACATGGGCCCTTGCACAAGGATTCCATTCATCGTCACAAACTGCCACAGCTATCGAATCTGAGTACACATTGCTTAGTGGCATCTGCTCTTTCAGCCTTGTCCTTCTTAGATTTGGATGCTGAGGTCACAGGATGGCGGCGTTACAAAGCAGTTGTTGGCTCCTTCGGGATGCCAACATGTTGCTCGTGGGCCTGTTTGTGTTCATGAGTTGGGATCAGCGTGCACTGAAGTTCTTGTACCCTCCTGGTCTCGTGCACAACTATTGTGCACAACTCTGCGCTTGCATAGTGAGTTTGGACCATGCGAGCCCGTGCCCTGAAACTTAAGTCGACTTGGGAAGACGGACCCTTGAAGAAGCCCGGAACTTCGCGGCGTGGTTGTCCTCCAGCGTCAGCAGTCGCAGGTTCTTCTTGGCAACAACCTGACAGGCTGTTCCTCTTCGGCCGGCTGCATGCAAGCTTCTGCATAAGAAAGAACCTGCCGGGACTGCACAGCATGCTGGCGTTGCGCCTTCACAGTGTTGTCGGAGTGGAGCCGCACACCTGTCATGATCAAGAGATCATAATCGGCAGCCAGCTGCTGCAATAGAGTCATGTGTAGTGCTCGATTGGCGTCGGATGCGCTTGCTTCACTGGCAATGAGCCTCCCCGAACTGGAACTGCACAAATAGGATTTTGATTTCTGCTATTCGACTTTAACTCTTTGGTTGCATGAGAGAGGTAGTCGCACCACAGTCCCGCGCACTTGCCTGCCAAAGACAGGTATGAGATCGCATAGATCATGCTAGCATAAGCCATCCCCTCATTCCGGCCCCCGCTGTTTGGCATCAAGTGGTAGCATAAACAGTGCGACGGACATGCATGTGCACATGGTCCCTCTTTTACGCTGCCATTGACGGCGCAGCTGTGTAATGTTGTACAATGAGCGTACATAGAAGTCAATAATCTCCGCTGGCCAGGCGAACCGACTTATCATGCAGGTGCACGTGTGCTACGCTGTAAGTCGGTTGGAATTCCAGTGTCCTCGCTCGCAGGAGTTGCTCGAGGGACACCCCTTATTTGAGGCAAGAAGGTTCCCGCCCTTGAGCGCAAGGAATAAGGCTGCAAACATAGCGAGTGGATATCAGAAACGAGCAAAACTTTTTTAAAATTGCTTTTTGAAGATTAATTCGGAAGGCTCCTTCCCTTTGCATACTTTTTGACCTTTTCAGGTTAACGGTGCCTTCGCCCTTCCCAAGCTTCACACCGCTAAGCGTGACGTTCTGCAGCGTCTGCAGCTTACCAGCTCTGACTTGCCGACCGCTCCTAAGCGTTCTGCGACAGCCGAAGTCCCGTGTCGATTCAGCTCGCCCTCCAGGCCATCAAGAGGGGGCAGCTGCTTTTTGGCTGCCGGCGTTGTTCTTGTTGCTCGCATGATGGACAGGTGCATTCTATTGGTCGCAGCAATTGGGCAGCTGCTATGGCAGTTCCAGATCGGAACCCTGCACAATCCTGCATACTCCACGACCCATGTGCAAAGGGTGTTATAATGACAGGTGTCGGAGCAAGCAGAGAAATCGCAGTCAACGATTCACTCTGCTGCTGGGGAAGAAGAACACAGCCAAGGTCGAGCATTGCTCGCACTCATCACGGAGGCGATCAATGATAAGGTGTGTTTCTATGCGGATGATACAGGTTTTTCTTGGACAACCAGTGAGAATCCTTACAACTGATGTTGCATGTTGGCTTTTGTGTATGCTTGTTGTTGGTTTGTGCTGTTCGTTGAAACTGGTTTTGTGTTTTGCTACGGGGGAGTATGGAGTGAGCAGAGAGACAGATACAAAGATATACAAAGATGCAACATCACACACTCCAAAATCACAACTACAAACCTGCAAAAAGCACCAACGCGGGCACTGAAAACCGATTTCTTCTCCTTACGGCGGTCGGAACGTCGCTCGTCGCCACAGATGTTTCAGTGCCAGTGCAAGGGATGAAGAATGGCTACCTATAAGAGGCTTGACGGTAAGCAGGATAATCTTGCTCGGGACAAACACGTCTGACTCTTTGTTAGAGAAGTGTATCAATCTGACTAGGAATAATATCATGAAACATGATGCTGGCCCGTACTCTTGTATAAAACTTCACGAAGCCGCCCTGTGCATCGTGCATGTGCGAAGTCTAGATCGCATCTAGGACGTTGGCTTTGGGATGACCGATGGAACAAAGAACATGCATGCCCTCAGCAATGCTTGCCTTGCTCGAAAGCGGCCCCCACGTTTCGGTTTCTTCTGAAAGGGGGCTCGAGCAGGCTGCGTCGTCGTAGGGCCCCCAGAATGTCTGCTGCATAGCCTGAGGCAAACGCCCCAAGGGGAAGTCCTCATCTGACTTGTCACTCTTTTGGCAGAGTAGGGCTTTTCCCGATATGCAGGTCAGGCCCGGGCAGGTTTAGTGGCCGTGCTCTGCAGCCATGTGTCGGCGGTGTCGTGACATATGTCTGTGGCCAATTTCCAAGTACGTTTCTGCCACTTTGAGCTTCCACTTCACGAGAATGTCGCTGGCGAAATGTCCGAACTAGCACCGCGTTCAAACGCAGAACGTGGGTCTGCAGAGCAGCCTCGGTAGAGAAAGCTGTCATGTTTCGCCTCGCTCGCTGCCAGACTGAGAGGCTGTAACATATGTTGGTTCCAGGACGTGTCTAGATGAGGAAAAGGATCGTATGGCTGACGGCTGAATTGGTTCTCCAAAGGCTCAAGTCATCCAAACAGCGGTAGTTGAAGTGCTCCGTATGAAAGATTTTCCAGCTGTCTTTGAGAAAACGCGATACGGGCCAGAGTGGATGCTGAACAGTTGCTTATTGACGACCTCCTCTTCCTCCTCCTCCGTGGGCATCATGTAACAGCTATCGTGCCGAAGTTTTTTTCGATTTTGACATGCTGACACCGCGATTCTATGCACCAGGCACTGTTGAGAAGGAAGCCCTTCTCTTCGAAGCACGCCCTTGAATATACTACACGCATGCTTACACACAACTTCCATCTTGCAAGAGCACACGCTGGATTGATGCGACTAAACTTAAACACGACGCGATACGACTTAACCCTTGGACCCAGTAGATACCTGAAGGTGCATCAACGAAAGGCTCCCACCGCGACGAGAATTTCTCGACATTAGTTTGACAATTTAATCTGAGACTGACATAGATACACGCCCGAAGTTGCATCCATGCCAGGCGCACGGTATCTCAGCTGCTTGTCATCGAAGCCTCGTGCCGACTCATAGAAACTTTCGACATTCACTCGCTTCGCAGATAGTTCCAGGGCCGTTACCAATGATTTCACCACGTAGACCGTTCAACGTCTGCATACGCAACAACGGCCGCAGCCATGCTGACCGAAACAGAAGGTCCAGATTCCAGAGTGTGCCTGAGCTTTTTGGAGGCCATGCAGCTCCACTTGCGCTCCGTTCGCCAGCCAGTGAGAGTCACCTGCAACAAAACGACCACAAACCGATGCTCACTGACGGGATGCAGCGGCCTTCGCTGCGAAGGTCAGGCAATTTGCAGCCTGAGAGAAGCACAACCCGAGGTAAAGATAGAACCCGACAAATGCAGTGCTAGTCTTGGTATCTCTCGGTGCCCGGCTCACTTCTTCCTGCATCTGGCGGAGCGCCTCTTCCTGCCACTGTGAACGGGCAGCGGCGCGATGCGGCGCGCAGGGGCGGCCGGCTTGGGCTTGCAGCTTCCCAGCTTTTCCTCATTCGCTCCGAAGCGGCACTTGGACTTCGAGGTTGAACCCTCCGCGCCCAGTCTTGTCTTCAAAGGAATTGCCGAAAACTCGCACTCTGCAAAATCCTTCGTCCCCACCTCAGTGATAGAGGAGCTCTGTCACAGCAAGAAAGCTTTCAAACTGTGTGGCTCAGATCCCGTGAGGATGATCTTCCTGACCGTAGGTCCAACCAGGTGACCAGGTCTGGTATAGTTGTCCCGGAACTTCTGCATGGCTTCGAGAGGCACCTGACATGCATTGTTGCAGACCGCTTTGATAGGGCATGAGAGCGCCGCGCAAATACACAAAGCCAGAAGCCAAGGCGGAACTTTGGGGTTCTTTAAGCATCCAGGCCTGCCGATCAGCCGGCCGAGCCGAGTTGGAAGCAAGCGCTGCTTCGAAGTCTCTTTCCTGAGCGCAACGACAGTAGATGGGATCTCCCCAATCGTCAGCGTCGGCTCCAGTAGTTTGCTCGTCCGAGTTCCCACGTCTTGCACATTTTCAAAATGCAGCAAGTACTGTACAGAGGTGCTTGCCATGCATCGATGGCCACAATCTCGACTGGGACCTCGATCTCGTAGTCTTTCAGATTCTGCAAGAATTGCGCGCGATGTCTGGCTGTATACCTTGGGCAATCTCGGCAGTGCAAGTCCACAGGGCGATGCTCCAGTTGTGACTGAATCAGAGCTGCAACAGGTCGTCGAAGAAAACGGTGTGCTCTTCTCGACCGTGCGCAGCGATCCAAGTGCTCTTGCCAGCCTGAGCAAACAATCTTGCTTGGAGGGTTCCGCGACCTGAACTTAATCATACTTGTGAAGTGGTGAAACGGTGCCCCACGACCTCAGAGCCACGCGCCGGGGCATCCACAAGTGCAAACGATCCTGCCAAGCTGGCCAATCAGCTCAAGCTACCAGAATCGCTTCATTGTCCGCTGCCTCCGGCACTGGCCGCTCTGCACCAAGAGCTTCAGTCTGAGACGCACTGCGGGAAATGCTGTGTGCGGAAGCGTCGGTAGCAACTTCAACACTAACTTCAATAATTCAAGCGAGGTGGCCTCTCAAAGCAGAGCTTCTTTGCGAGCTCGACACGCTCCGGGGTAAAAGCATACACCCCGTCTTCGTAGAGGAACTTATCCACACTTAGCACCTGTCCAAGGCGTCTTGAACAATTCTGGCGAGACGCCGGTCGTCGTCCAGCACGAAGTAGGTAAGGCTAAATGCAGCATTCTGACTTGCGGGTCAGCTTCGTCAGCATTAGGCACGACAGCCATGGGAAACGCCGGCCGACGATGATGCACAGCATCTGCTGAGATGCTTGCTGTGTTTGGTCTCTGTGTATCCGCCTTACCTCCATGTCTCTCTTGACTGTGTTCCGATGCACATGATGCAGTTTGTTGTAGTGTGTTCGCTCGTCTAGAGCCATGTGCATGTCTGTCTGCTCTGTCGTCTGCGTTTGAAACCAGACAGGGAGAAGTCAGCTGGTGCACTGGAGAGATGGCCACGCTCTGCCGCTCAGCAAGGTGCCTCTTCGGCAGACAGGTCGCCCTTTGCCGGCTGAGCCATGCCAGTGACGACGCCCGGCCGCGGCCCAAGCAACGCAGAAATTCGTAAGGTCGGCACCTTCTCGCGCTGTTCTTGCTTGTGTGTGACGCTGGTAGCTTCTTCCCCACAAAAAGGTAGAGAGGACCGGTCGATGTGTGCAGATGCAGTTAGGCTGGGTTTGTGCACCGCTATCGGTGGAGTTGGATGTGTTCCGAAGCTTGAAGCCGGCACGTGGCATGCGGGGTCTTGGCTCCCGATATCACAGACGTATCTGCAAACTGTGTTGAGGCTTGATTGCGCGCACAGGCCATGAATCCAGGAAAGACTGCCAGACTCTGAAACGCCGTAAACACGTGACCACTGCGAAGACTCTCTGAAACTGAAAAAGACCATTTCGCATCCAGGTAAGTCCGGCGATGCCAGACTTTTGCATGCTGGCAGTGAAGCCGCGCATGCGGCGCGACGTGCAGCTTCAGTGCTGTCGATGCGGTCAACTCGCTGCTCTCGGCTGGAAGTCAATCTTCCACAACTCCTGAATGCCACACATGAGGTCCAAGTGTAAATGGACAAGCTCAACAGCTTCTGATGCCTGAGATTCATTTGGGCTTGGCTTGGCGATGAGCTGAGTGCAGCTGGAGGAAGGATCCTTCGCGTTGTACACCTTCTGCTTCGTCACATTACCTCTCAGCTCCTGCACTCGGCAACGCTTGAGGCAGACCCATGATGGCTGTCCTTTGTCACCGGCATCGGAATTAAGCTTTCAAGCACAAACTTCAACTTGAGTGGCTCCGGTCGGGCCCTCGGGAACTTGACATGCCCTCACCTACAAGTATAGAACGCAATGCAGTCTGAATGTGGAGTGGCACCTTTGCCGGAGAACTTCCGCGAAATGCAACCACCTCAGAACATGAAATTCGAGCAGTACGATCATACATTCATTCCAACCTATCTGCTCATTCATAATCTCAGGGCTATGCCGGGTTTGCCACCCTCTGGCCGTTGTTGCCCCTTGCCTCGACATTCCAGGCCCACATTCCGTTTTCATCAGTACTGTAACACTTTCAGTCTGCCCCCGCAACGCAGCAGGGGGCCTTTGCCCACATCTGCAGGTGCCTGCCACTTGCCTCCAGCCAGTGCATCCTCTCTGGCGACAGCCTCAACTACATGCTTAGGCGTGGACTCGCCGTCCGGCCTGCTGCACGCTGCAAGTCGCCTTTTCTTGACTACTGGAAGGCACCATCCTGCCTTGGTCCTGAAAGTGACCAAACTCTTCAGGGCTGCGCTTGCCTTAAGGCATGGAATTCATAACCTCCGCCACTGTCGGACCAGACCCCAGGACAAGATAGGACAAGCTGGACAGAGCTATCTTCCCAGCATTGGCAAGCTTGTCTATTGGAGATACTTAGACCCTGTATCCCAGTATCTTCTTGAACTGAAAACTGTGTCTCCTGCAGCCGGTGCTGCGATGCAAAGACTCAGACTCAACCACACACCTCCCCCATTACGATGCAAAGCTTTCGATCTGCACAGTCGAAGGTGTGTGAATCTTTATCATTTCCGGACGAGCTCCACTGACGTCCAGAATGATCCAACAAGAAGAAGCAAACAAAGAGGCCATCACACGAACGCATGTTGGCAGTCAGAAGTTCATCCAAATAACATCGCAACTGAGGCCAAGACCAGGCAGCCCCTTTGTCGAAAAGCGGCTGGCAGATGCACTGGCATGGCTGGAGTCAGCAGGAGGGCCTCACCGGCATGGCAACTAGGTTTCCCCGACCCTCCCAGACTCTGCCCCAAGCTGCCAGAGATTCATGCGTGCATTGAAAGCTTGGGCTCTCACCACCTTTGGGTGCAGACTTGCCCACGGCCGCAACTGGCTCACATGTATCTTGGGTTTCCAGCACGAGACAAGTCCGAGACAAGCAGACAAGAAAGTGCCTGCCTTCTTGTGCTGGACCTTAAAGCATGCGCAGAAAGTGCTGGAATTCAAAGACTGGCACACTCAGCATCTCAGCTTGCGACCTTTTGCACCCTTCATGGCAAATTTGCTCACCGGACCTGGACGGACAGTTTTTGTTGCTGTGGTGAAGTGTCACTCCCCAGGCAGATGTGGCGAACTCAAAGCGTTCACATAACTCTGACAGGCCCAAGTTGGTCGAGATAGCTAATACTATCTGCGTGGATGCTGCTGCCTGTTATTTACATCGCGGTAGTTCCTGTGTGATTCTGTGTGATCTGTGTATATTATACAATGTATTTAGTACACTACATCTATATACTGACTATGCCATAATATACATGATCCGGTCTTGTCATAATCGCAGCCTGGCCTTGCCCCATCGATGGATCAGGTTCCTGCGAATTCCGGAAGCGAGGCACAAACATTTTTCTTGCTGTGTCTCCCGGAGCAGTGCTTCGCATGCACTGCATGCATCACCTGACGAAAGGTCTCCCTTCGTATTTTGCTCTGGATCCCGGCGATGCGACGAATCTCTCCCGTCGCAAGTCAAGGCATGTGTCTTCGACAACTCGGATGAACCAGCAACCCACATGGAAGGCAACAGTCAAGTGTTTAAAGGCCCAGCTATACTCCTCGTACTGAACGAATCAATCTTCGTGAACTTCCACCCCACCCAACAAAGAGTTCATCCCAGTCATCCGAACATGTCAAAGCCGTCATCGACAGCTTTGTTCACTTTCTCGGGTTCTGCTTCTTTCCTGCAGCTGGCGAGAAGATGCGAGAAGGTAGTGGATTGCTCTCCCAAGCAAATGTTCCATCTCGTTCGACTTCACGAGCTAGGGCCCTCGCTTGTCAGCTCTCTTTGCGAGGAGGCGCTGTAGCGGCTTCTCCTGAACCGTGCGGCAGGCCCCTCACAAATTGCGACAACTCGATCATCCGTTCTCGGATGTGCGACTGGATGCGCAAAGCCAATAGTTAAATCGTTCCAGGCCGCCTGCCACCAGCACTGCACTGCCTCAGAAATAGCGGTTTACACTTACTGCAGCTTCAAAGTCTGACAAAATTCGACCACGAGAACGGACGGGAAGTGTCAACAGATGATGCGGATGCGTGCGTCAGGACTCCCTCTCATGTAGCGAGCCTCTGAAGGAACCGAACTGGACCCATCAGTTCGGCTAGTCAACTCCACAGCAACCCCTGCGACACTGTCGTTCCGATTTCAACTCCAAGCATACCTGTGCTCGACTTTCGACCGTCTCCTCAGTTTTCGCCGGTATCCATAGAAATAAAGACGATGAAATAGATCGCAGATCGCTTGCATCTCGCGTATCTGAAACTACGACTGCAATGTTGCAGCTGTCACCTTGTTCCTCAGCGAACCTGGCCCAGAAATCGGGAGAGCGCATGATCACGCTCATCCCTGCACAACAACGTGCTAACACTGCCACACATGTTCTTCGACATGCTCAACATTATTGATAACGTTTGAAGACAGTGTCGGCTGATGGCTGCAAGATCTGAGGACGCGGGCCATGCACGCCAGCGAGTCCCGATCCGGGCCTTGAGCCTGTGCCGTACGCACCACGGCCTGCATCCGGTCCCAAGACACGCTACGAACGTAAGCTCTAGCCAGTCGTCCACAAGGCAGTGCCTTGCTGGCTGCCTCCCAACCATCAAGCCCCTGTGCTGGGCTACCCCAGGCCTCACGTACTGGCAGGGCATCTCCAGAACAGTTCAAGCTTTGGTTCAGTCCCTCACATCCAAGGCAACGTTGATGACATCTTGATCCTTGAGGACAGACGCCACCTGCTTGCGAGCAGGATCCGGCATTGGCCGGTCAGCTACATCCAAGCTTGACACATGTGCCAACAACAATATGCAGCAGTCCTCAGCTGAAAAGACGACGAGGAATGGCTCTTCGCCTGCAACACAGCGCCACCTGGGTTTTGGCCGGTGCTACTTGCCAAATGAGCTGGAGGCACCCTAGGCCCTGAGTTCTCACCGAGTGTCGCGCTCACGCACTTTTTTAACCTGCAGTTGCAAGCGAAATGTGGCGGAACGCTCAGGGCAAGGCCAGGGTCCGCACTGAGGGTTGTCCGACCACCGGCGACCTCGTGGTCTTGAAAGGCCTGTCCGGCTACTGCTGCTGCCGCACTGATTTACGTATACTCACGTTCATGCCATTCCAGCTGTCGTTATGCGTAGACTCTGGCCGGCCTACCGCCTATCAGCCTCGAGGCTGGCATCCTGAAGATCTGGCTCGGTCTTGACTGACCCACCTCCACCCACTCTCGGGCAACTTCGGTGCTCTCAGAAAATTCTCCATTCCACCTCCGCGAAGGAGACGTCCACCTTTCCTGAGTCAGTGACGTTGAACCCAACCTGAAGCAAGCGCACTTACGGGGCACGGCCGATCCATGCCGATCGTTTCAACACTTGCCTCTTTGAGAGCAGCGCTGGCCTGATCGGTAAGAGAGCGCCGACATTTTGCGAACATTTTCACATATTTCAGCTTACAGCGTATCAGGAGCAAAGAGCAGAGATTTCCTGGCCTTCTGGGTGGTATACGGCTCCACGACTCTCACCGGTACACCTGCATGCAAGTTCCGTCGGCGTGCAGTTTCAGCACACCTGCTGAAAGCTGTTCGGATACAGTACATCACATCAGCAGCAACCTCCCTGGACTAAAAAGGCCGGAACTCGTATATAACAGTGCCGGCGCATGTGCCCATTCTTGATAACAAGCCTGCTGTAACGACTAGATTTGCCAGATCATGGACGGAGCCCATCTTCGAAGACGACACAAGTCCACCTTCGTGGCTACACAAGGCCACCACGGATGCACCACAGTTTGCAATCCAGAGCTGCACCTGGACTGCTGGAGAGCGTCTGGAGGCATGCCATTCCACCAACAGTGCTAGAAGTATCTGGAGTGTACCAGCATCAGCCCCGTGCTCGATGCTGACGAGAATAATGCCAGCTTACAGTGAGGCTTACAGCAGATCTTTACACCCACATGTTAATTACACAAACTGAGATCCACACGCATGGCTGACCGGAAGAATTCAGAGCGTGCACAAAAAGAGCGGCGGTGACCTGGCTCCACGCAAACCACAATTTCCACAACCGCCCTTGCTCTTGGCAATGGCCAATTGGTAGCTTGCGCTCTTGTGCGAGAACTTCTGTATTAAGGGAGACGCAGGAAAAGAGCAGGACCCTTCATGGCTCAACAAGGGCAGCTGCAATGCCTCGGCCCCGTCCGTAAGGCTCTTCATCTTCGCACGTTCCATGAACTCTGTCTCCAGCACCTGCTTTGAAGAAACCCTCCTGCAACTCTGGTGGTCTCTGTGTTTTGCCTCGAAGGCAGACTTCAGAGCTTCCTCCGCATCTGGCTTCTCCTGGGCTCATCACTTCTCACCACCCAGGGCCATTCCCTTGCAGTCGGCCTCGTATGCCTTTGCAATGAATTTTGGCAGCTTCTCTTTGGCAAACCTGGCAGGAACACATCTTCACTGTGTTAGAATCATCGCGGGCAAAGATGTAGATTCTGTTCAAAACCAGGCCGGCGTGCGTAGCACACTCATTGCCTTGGACCAGGTAGTGACCAACGACAGACCGCCGTGTCGCTCCCACTGAAACGTATGGCCACTACCCTTTCCCACCGTCGCCGTGCATCCATGCGCCATTACGAAAACCTAGCAGCAGCAGAATCAGCGGCGTTGGACGAGTGATGATAACGGAGGCAGCCTTTCCCAACTGAGGAACTGTTTCACCAAGGACGAAAGCGTCCTGCAATCAGCCCCGGGCAGATGAACAGCCTGCCCAAAAGCGGCAAGCCGCAGTCCTGGTTGGCGACTGTGGCTGGCAAAGATTCCCCATATCCCTTCAAAGCGTACCTGCATCATGTTGCTACGATCCACGACTGAGCAGATTCTCGCACCATTGAGTCAATCTCAGGGTCACTGTGGTATCTCGAAGAAGTTTCGCCACTGCTCCTGCGCAAACGTGCAAACACGGCACGGCTCGTGCCTGTGCCCTCAGGCTGTTGGGCTTCTGGGCTGGACCCTCAGCGGAAACAATTCCTGCCACTGCTTCTGCTTCTGGGGACCTCTGCCTTGTGGCTCGAGCCGGTGCGACTCTCGCACGCAAGCACTGCTTCCACGTCAAGACGTCTAAGCCGGCCGTCTGCGTATGTGAGTCGGACCTTCAAAAGGTGTCATCAACATGCCTTCCTTCTCAAATTCGCTCGAACTTCCACGCAAACTCCACTCCAGAACGAATCGACCAGCGCACCCTGCCATCGCTTTCCCAGGGCGTTTTCTGCTTAAGGCAGGATGTTGGCTTGCAGAATTCTGTGATGCACAGCTCCGATGTTTTTCAAACTGGATCGTGTCCTTGGGCTGAGTCGGTCTTGGCTTCCGAGCTTGCTGTGAGTTTGGCAGTAAGGATACGAGTTGGGCGAAGAAACTCAGCGGAGTTCTTGTGACCAAAGGTACTATAGTAATTAGTTGTATGGACTGCGGCTGCCATAGGGCGTCAAGTCGGGCAGGCCTTAAACTGATTGGACCGCCACGCAAGAACATGATCTTCCATGCTTGAAGCCTGCACTCGGCTTTAAGCACTCTAGTGCGCACCATCTCGGCATGCAGAAATGTAGAAGCATTGCGGAACGGAGCGAAAGCCAGAGTACAAACCTCAGCAAAGCTCCGCAGCCCAAACCCAAAGAACTCCTTGAGCTGCTGTCGCCGCTTCTTGGCCAACTGGGACTGGTTCTGGCGGACACGAGCAATGGCAACTTTCATGCACCAGGACACATCAAGAGACTGTGGCAACATGCAAGGCACGCAACAGCCACATTTGAGAAACTGTGTAGTGTCCCATGTGCGCTCTGCACCCCAGCTCCGCTCTTCTTACACCCTTCCCAGGTACAACAACACTGATGCACGTTTGCCAGATGTCAGCATCTTCCCACTTTGTGGATTGAGTTTCATAGAACTATGGAACCATTGAGACGTGCAAAGGCTGTGAATTGAGTACTGCGTAGGTTTGGCAATGCCGGCTTGGCAAGGCAGGCAAAGCATGCGGCAAGGATTCCATTTCCGAACAGTTTTGATGAACCGAAGCCCCAATCTGCCAACCGGTGATGTTGACAATGCCCGAAACAAAGTGTATCAGGTCCCAGATTCCCACATTGCTTCTGCAACCCACAAACGTTCCGAACTCGAGCTCGCACCGCAAGCACCAGTGATGAGAACGCAGACACACCAGATTGGCAGGTGTATTTGGAGCAGCTACATGCAGGCATACGTCTGCTCCTAACCAGAGCCCTTCGAGGCCTCTTCGGGCTTTTCCTGCGATATCGGGGTGCCATCAGGGTTTCGCACGTCCTGCACACAAGTCGACGATAACAGGTGGCACTACCTAAGCTCCAGTGGTCCTCACACCATGGCTTGCCACGGTTCTCTCCGCGCAGGAAAGAAACCTGCAAAGACATGCAGGCAGCTGCCGAAGTCAGGGCGTCGTCAAGCCATGGTCGGCCTTCTGGTCTTTCTCCAACATGCGGAAGCCAGGAGCAATAATCTGGGACTGGTGAACGAAGATTTTCTCCTGAGTTGCCACTCGCATCCTTGACTGTTCTCCATGCGATCCCAAGGCGGCGCCAAAGCCGAAGGCAGCACCAAAGCAAACGCCGCCTTGTCCGCGTCTAAGAGGAAACCATAGCCCTTGCCCTTGTCGTAGTCCTGGGACGTATGTCATTCACCGTCAGCCACATTGGAACCATTGGAGGGAGCGGATCTTCAAACGTGGCGGCGAGGCAAGGACAGTCCCGATCTCTCGTCCACGCGCCTGCTGTTGAGCCGTCAAGGGCAATCACTCAGCGGCTTAGCTGTGATAAAGCTGGGGGTGCTGGGGTTGCTCCGGGCCCAGATTCTAACCCCCTGCCATTACGACGTGTGAGTACGTTTCTCCACCTCCACCACATGCTTTTGTCGTGCGCCGATAGAAGCATGAATGCTCCGACTCAGGGTCTCGAGTTGGGAGGTGGTGCTGGCATCTCTTCCTGGCATCATTTGAACCTGCCCCGCCAGCGGCACACGACCTGAGCAATTTTCTCGTCGATTCGGCGTGACTTACGAACGACACTCGAATTGACTTGTTGTGCAGCGGTGCTCTCCTTGGTGAAAGCTGCAAGGATTTTTGGCTGACAAGTTGCCAAAGGTTGGAGTTCGATCATGTCTGATCATCAGTCAAGAGTGACCACTACTTTCCTGCTTGTCCGGAGGAGTTGTCAAAGGCTGGCAGCTAGTTCTGCTCAGCGAAAAAGCCACCACAAATCCATCCTTTTCCGATGTAGTGCGGACCCCGCCGTGCTGTTGCTCAATTTCCTGATATTGCAGAACAAGCAGAATACCCACTGGTCCCGAATGCATAGGCTACCATGCTTCCGGTTTAGCACATGTTCGCCTGCTTCTGCTTTTCCACCACTTTGTCGACAACAGCTGCAGCCTGATGTGCGCTTAGGATGTGCCAACAACTCTGGGAACCTCCCGTTGCCTCGAACTGTCGCTTCAGTGCGGGATTCATGGCTCAGAACAGGGCGATGGGCAGAGGTTTTCAAGTCCAAGGTGCGCATGCACTCAACATGCTGATCTTACAAATGGCTCGGCCCTAGATTCGGGTGATAAGCTGCCTATGCATTGAAAAGGTTGTCTATGATGCTTGCGAAGCCTCAGCATCGAGCGGAATGATCTTTTACCCGATCCAATCGTTGCATTTAGCTGAAAGCTTCCTACAACTCGTGCAGCATCTGCTTATAAGGACTGCAACACTCCAGCGGTGGCCCTGAAGGCTGCAAGTGGTTGTGCTCAACCACCAACACATGCCAACACGACATTCTGGCAACGGCAGGGCACACCCCTTGCCGCAGAGGCAGCCCCTTGCCGGAATCCTGACACTGCAGCACACCTAGCAGTTTAAGAAGTTGATCGTTTAGCAATCAAGATCCCCTGACGAAATGGTGCTCCTGCTCTCTTCGCCTTTTGCTGCCGACCTGGTCCTTCGGACGCTCCGCACATGTAACCGAAAGCGCGCAAATTTGTGGAAGGCTTCGCAAGCTTCGCCATCCTGCCTCGGCATTTGGTGCAGGGGCACCCAGCCCGTCCTGCTTGCCAAGAAAGCCACTAGCATGATCGTGACTTTCAGCCTGAAAGCATGTTTGAGGCTAGCATGTGGAGGCTGCTCCTTCTGCTGCAGAGATCTCGGCGGGGGTAACGGCACAGCCTGGAAAGGAAGCAGGAGCGCCATTTCTAATGAGCATTAACAAGCTCTATCAGTGCGTCCTGCAGAGCAATGCTCAGGGTAAAATCAGGCATTTTCCTGTTTGGCCCCCCTTGCTGGTCGTTGTAAACTCGCGGAACTGATACAGTTTCTCATGCAGGTTTCAGGAGATTGGGAAGTAATTAGGAGCGGCTTCGTTCAGCCTGTACCCAGTGCGATTGCTTTTCAACACAACCAAGTGCCATCGAACATCATCGAACCCACAATGCCTGCCAGGCGACGAAACGCTCTGTGAGCCACCGTGCTAGTATGTGCCAATGCTCTTGCATTCAGGCTCACTCCTTAAATTCTCCTTTGCAGGATACAGACCTTGTAAATGAAGGCCTGGGCCAGATCAGAAGGCCACTGCCCAAAGCACTTAGGAAACAGATTTGAATAACCGTGCTGACTCTGCGGGCATCCTGCTCGAATTCGGATCAAGCGGCTGTGTTAAATTTTAACCAAGATGAACTTGAAAGGAGCCGGGCAAACCCATGCCCAGATCCCCATGTGCTCATGAATCTCAGAGGATTCGCACTTTCAATATTGGCTTAGCAAATGCCTTCACTCAGGATCGAGAAGCAGATCAGTCGCTACTGTTCCTGGAGGTAGACGTCAGCAGCAGAAAGTGCCGACAGGAATGGCTGCAACATCTATCTATCTCCAACTAAGCAGGCCTGACTCCACCCGCGAAGATCTCGAACACACTCTCGCTCTCGGGTAGGCAGGGCGAATCATAGATTTTCCTTCGGATTCCGGAAAATGCTTTGCCATGGACGGCACTGACAGCAACATGCTGCACTGCAACACCTTCGAAAATTGTGGGAACGAGAAGCGCGATGCGCTGCTCTGCACGGCCCTTGCGCAGCATGATGCGAGTGGTGGAGAAGTGCGCCAGGATGTGACCACCGACGGGCTTCGGGTGGCTTGGCATGAAAGCGCAGCCGCCTCCTCCAAACAAAGATCGTCGCCACTTGATTGTGAAACCATTGCAAGTGCTGTGCTACCGCTGCCGCAGCGTGTGCTTCATGTCCACGAGCTTCTGGAAACGATCACAAGAGGTGCCTGGATCAGCCATGACCTGGTTGGTCAGAACGACGGCAACATTGAACTCCTGCCGCAGGGCACGGGCAGGAGCTTTTACGGTTACATCTCACTCGCAAGTTGGGATAGAGTCGACTGGACATCGAACGGTTAAGCTCCTCGCTCACCTTTTGCAGCTTGCTCATCACACCTGAGGTCAACGTTCTCGTGATGAATTCGTACTCTAAACTCTAGACACTGCATCTGCAGCTTAAAACGCGCGCCACCAAGGTAATGGATCAAGGTAATTCTGGCAAGAATCGTGCCAGCTTCTGCTGACGGTCTGCCAGTTCTCCTGCAACGCTCACTTGGCGTCAGCGGACCCATGAAGTGGCATGGTGCCATGCATGCGCACTGCGCACCTCGCCCGGAGTAGTCCACGCGGAAGCCACCCATGATGGAATCAACAATCAAGAGCGCAAAGCCTTCGCTTCGAAAGTTTCTTCCGAGTTCAAAACTATGAGTGCAAACACAAAGCACTGAACTTCGTCTGCGTGTATCAAGTCAACCAAGGTACGATCCTCGTCATTCACCATGAGGCTAGCTGCTTCCAGCATCAACTGTTCGAGGTGATCGGAGGTGTAGCATCTGGCATACACGATGTTGTTCATTGCAGCCTGGCATGGAAAGCAGGAATCACCGCGAGTCAGGCTTCAAAGGGAACTGCAGTGGATCCCTCATTCCTGCCTCAGCGGACACGCCCTTGCCTTCGGCAATCTGACGGATCCGTTCAGGTCTGAAAGTGCCTTCTGTGTCAATGTATACGACCTCGAGGCGCTGTTTCGAGCACTGCAGTCTGATAAAGATTGAACCGCGCATCTGCTTCTGAGCTCTGAGGGAGGCACCTTGCCGTTTGCACCACCCATATTTGGAGGTAGCTGTGCCATCACCGAGAGCGAGTGGCAGACCTGTGTCTTTCCACACCTGCCAGTCAGCAAACATGAATGGCTGTGCCGAGCCCAAGTCAAGTCCATCGCGTCTCTCTATGCTCAGCTTGCATGTTGCGATGTGTGCCAGAAAGTCAGATTAGACATGCTTGGCCTGAACTCGCCGAAGAGCTCAGTGATCGAGCAGCTTTCCATGCCACCCCCCAGCCTGTAGGGTCTTGGGAAGTGGACAGCCGGGGAAAGCTTCCAGAGAGCTCCGTGTAATGTACAGATTGATGACTAGGAGCATCTGGTCAAGCTTCGCCGCGCCGGTTGAGATCTGGAAACGGTTCTTCATCTTGCTCAGGAGCTGAGTACAGGTGACAAAGCCTGCCTGGGCAAAAACATTTCCCAATCTGAAACCGCGCAAATCAAGATTTTGCCCGCACGCCACCTCGCTCGATTTCCGCGCAGCCTCTATGATCTTATCCACCTTGCAAAGCAGCACTGTTCAGGAACATCAAAACCGAGCTTCTGCAAACAAAAATCCACTGAGATACACCGAGCCTTCTGATCGGAGAGGCCCTTGATGTTCAACAGATCTTTGCGCATCGCGAAAACGACCGACCTACATCGTGTCGACTAGTACCATGGCTGCTCTGCAACATGATTCCATGTGAGGGAGCGGCTGACTGGTGTTGTAACCAGCCTTAGCCCAAATGCTCTTAATATCTGTTGACTGTGTACTCCAAAAGGTGACAAGATGCCACTAACGACAGCCTTTAGCCGCGAGGTGGCTACGTGTTGTAAGCAGCTGACATCTTTAAGCTTCTTGAGATCAGCGGCGTTGATGCCTGCGTCCTTGCATATAAACCCATGCATTATTCGGTCTATGTGCTGATACAGTGCACATTGCAAGCACTAGTTGGGTAGAGAGGTAGACTTGTCAGTCCAGAACAGACGCCACACTGCCTAAAGAGCAAACATGAGAAGGACTCTGAATAAAACAGAGCACTCTCTGGCCTGTTGCCGGTACCTTCCGAAAACCACAGTGGCTCCTGAAGCTTGTCGATGAGACTGTAGGGCAACTCTTCTTCTTGGTAAACATCTTCCTGTCACGATCCAAGCGTACAGAATTCTTACGGAGGTTTGACAGAATGCAGTGATACCTGTACTTCCGCAATCTTCCTCTTGGCTTGACCCACCTCAGCCATGACCTTGGAGAAAGTACACAAATAAGCACTTCAGCAAGAGGCAGCCGAGAAAGCTTGATGAAAACCTCCCCCACAACTCAGCCCTACAAGCTCCAGCGGGATAGTTCTTTCCGTCGCGCAGGGCTCAGGCAAGGGCAACTTCAGGCGGATGTGCTCAAAGAGACAATACTTGACAGCCGCACTTGAGCCAAACTCGGTCACTGAAGAGTCGCGCGCAAGCCAGCATGCAGCAATCGAAACAAATCAAGCGAGCCGGCAACCAGGCTCTAAACTTAGAGCCGGACAGGCATCGCAGGTGCCTCCACAGCAAGCAGTACACCGGCATAATGGCAAAGGCATAAGGCTACGAAGAAAATCCGGCCTTGGCCAGCAATCCCTGAGGTGGGACTGGGACAGAACCAGCCTTGCCGGTTGTACCTCATGGGCTTCATACATGTTACCTATCCCACGACTCCGTCACCGGGCCGACAGTCTGTATCTATCTCTCCGTCCGCCCCTTTGTATGTGCGTGAAATCAAGTGTGGGTCCCGCCTGCTGTGCACGCAGAGGCGCTCTTTTGCAAGGACGGTGGGGGTGCCAGGATCTGCGCCTCGGTCGGCTTGCTCGACGGAGCTCCCAGGATCTGCTTCTTCGAGTCAAACGTCAAATGTCAAGCTCGCCTTGACCATGGCCGGCGGTGGCGGCGTCTTTGCCTCTGCTCACCGGGAGACTCGCTTCCAGAGAACCCCGCATGTACCAGCACCGGCCTCCGATGCCACAACACCTGGGCACACAGCACTGGACTTCGCAAGACTCAGTGTAGAGGAACGTCTTGTTTTGCCACATGTGGAACCCCTAACTTCTGAGAGAATCTGATACTGATATATGCCTGTGGCGCTAAGAAGACAGCAAACGAATGTGATGCAAATCGGCTTGGAAAATTCAACGCCCAAAAGCAATTCCTGATTTAGAATTTAGATTACATGTATTTCTGACTGAAGCTGTTGAGCAGTTGCACCTTTGCCAGCAGACTTCTGCGACCAAGAGCCAGCACCTGGACAGAAGGAGAAAGACTGCGAACACCAAGCATGCCAACATCGCCACATCACCACAAACTGGGCAACATTCAGGTGTCTGCTGCCGTCTGGCTGCGCTTGCCCTTTGCCTGCGCAGTGCTCCCAGCCACAATCCAATAAACGTGCTTGACCACTTGCATCTCTTGCTGTCCGTGGAACTTTGGAGCCTCTGTCAGAGCCCACCGGCGCTGGCTCTTTTCCCTTGCCTTTGCCTCCGCGACACGCCGACACGCTGCACTCAAGGCAGCCGACAGCTTCAGCCAAGGCCAGGGCCAGTCATCCGGCCGCCTCCCGAGGGCAAAGTTGACTGCGGATCACTGGAGGAATCATGCACTCTGCCTTCGTCATGATGGCCGGAATCTTGCGGAGCGTGTTTGCCTCGAAGAACGGTCAGGCAAGGACTTACACAAATACAAGTGTGAATCTGAGTCACAGGGTGCAGTCAATTTCGGGCTTCTGCCTTGCGTTGCCATGGTTAATAGCAGTTGCAGTTTGGCACTCTCAGCCCCGAAGAAACCTGCATTGTCTATCCGTTTTCGCGTCCTGCAGGTGCGCTCCGTGGCTGAGGCCCAGGCCAGGCATCCCTTTAGTTGAGAAGCGGCTGAAGGGCGTGTCCAGGTGGCTCGGCTCCGGAGGAGGGCCTGATAGGCATATCAGAATGTAGAACGTTTGGATTCTCAAGTCAAGGTCAGAAAACGGGGTAGCCGCCGGAATCCTCGTGTTTACCTTGCCCTGACAAGGCTTCGCATCTCTGCCATCCAGAATGCGCTGTGCCCTCGGAGTCACATGGACTCACACGGCCTTTCGGCGTGGATTTGCCCATGGTGGCACCACCGGCACCACCTGGCAGAGCAAAGTCTTCTCATGCAGGAACGCAGCGCAGCCGACTACGACATCCGAAGGCTGAGCCAAGCATGAAGATTCTCGCCTTCAACGGTCGGACCTCATGCTCAGGTCCGGCAGACATTAGCAGAAAATCAGGAAATCCCGCCACATGCAAGTGTTGCCTGCAAAATCACGTCATATGTCCAAGGCAAGCTGCCTGGCAACCTCTGCACTGCATCTCAGCTTGCAGCCTTTCGCCCCCTTCGTGGCGAACTTGAGTGGAGGGCCTGGGAACCGGCACAGCGAAATCGACAAGGCCTCGCAAGCTGCCTCAACCAATTCTTCCCAGAGCCACCGGCCAAGCTGCCCCATCGGCGAGTCAGGGTCCTGCATGGAGAACACCGGATATGGCTTGTCCCCAGTGCTCTGCAAGCCCTCACCATGAGTCGACGCGCGAAACTATGATTGTGCCGTTTTCTGCTCGGTGTTTTCGTTGGGACAAGTACTGCAGCATGTGGAAAATGTCTAATGAAGCCCACCCGCTTGAAACAATGAAAAGCCAGTTGACCTTACAAAACACGTCTGCCAAAGTGCCATTCCACTCTGTCCTGCTCTCTGTGCCGTTTAGCTCCGACCTCCTGGCGATTCTCGACGCATGCAACCCAAAACAGCCCAAGCTTCACCACATCCGCCTCGGCATTTGGCACTGGGGCCGCTGCCGCATTCTCCTTGACCAGAAAGCCATTCAGCTTCATTCCCTTTCGTAGCACGAACGCTGAAGGCTCTCCTTCTGTCGCAAGTGCTTCGGCAACGGCAGCCGCCCAGCCTAAAACGAAGGCATTAGGAATGAAGAAATGGTCACAAGCAGGCGGTGACACTCGCATCCGGAGTTTCCATCCGGTCTACTAGCCAGTGTACCAGTATTGAGCATGACTCGGGAAAGGACGGCCCGGTAGGGAAGGTCACAAAAGCCAGGGTAACAACAGTAACAACCCAGACACGTGGCATCTGATCAAACTCCGGGAAGGTTTTGAACTTGCGTGAAGCCAAGTTCACATCCACCTGCAGTGGAAATCGAAGCTGTGTACCAGTTTGATAGTGCTTGAGATGGACTTCTTTATCTCATCCTCGCAGCACACGCTTGCTCGGTGTCTTGGGCAGTTATGGCGCAGGCAGAAAGCGGACGCACACGGCAGCTGGAGTGGCTGGGCTTTGCAGCGGCTTCCGTCATCTCCAGCCTTGTTTTGATCGCGGTGAGGCTGAGCGCCGGACGCCCCGCGTTGACGAGCCGGGCTCCCGATCGCTTGGGAAGGACCTTCGTCCGAGCTGTGCCAGCGCAGTGCTTTGAGATATTTTCTGCCTGAACTCTCTACATGAAGGATCCGACTCCTGCCGCATTTGGCGTGTGAAGACGCTGGCATGGCTGTCCTCCTGACCGCCGACCCTGGGCAGCGTCAGTACCATGACACGTCTCTCGCAGAACCTCCGTGCTGTCAAAGCATGTCAGAACTTCGTCGGAACGTGTTTGGCCGCTTGCTACAGCCTGAGATACGCCCCACCCGCCTGTGTCGCCCCAGATTAGGTGGCGGTGCCTGGTGCCAGCAACTTCGAACTTGATCAAACCTGCCACCTGACCATTGCGTTATTTTGGCCTCCGCTCCTTGCAAGTTCCCTCGTGCTGATGCTGCTGCCCGAATGCTGCCGCTAACTTCATCAATCCGAACTCGTCAAGCTGCCTCTCCAGCAACCAGGGATGCCGTGGCAGCTGGCCTCGCAGTTGGTCTACTGTTTGGTTCTGTGCCTCTGCCCTGAAAACTGGGCACACTAAACGCCCAAAAACGCGATGTTGCATACTCCCGGAATTGGCTCCTTTAGGCCTACTTACTCAAGTCCGAAGGCCGACCAGAGCCTGGAGCCGAATTTCAGAAACTGCGTAGCGAAAGTCATAAGCCTTTCGGCCTACCCATCTTCAATCCCCCCTTCAAAGCACTTGGCATATTTGCTGCTTATGGGAACTTCATGCCTGTCGTGCAAATGCTCGGCTCGCGACGGTGTCCGGAAGACACTGCACCCACCAGGGCCTGCCCCTTGAGTTTCGGGCATAACTTGGACTACACCCTTTGCAGCTCCGGCTTCGGTGAAGGACAAATTCACTCAACTTCAAGAGGAAGAGGGGCGTGACAGAGGCAAGGGACAAGCGGAGATGGAGAGGCGCCTTTGGCAGTTAACTTCTGTGCCAAGGAGTAATCACCTTGAACAGAAATACAGATGATGACGACTGTTGCCGATCGATGTTGGCAGCATTCAGGTGTCGGCCGTCCAGCTGCGGCGGTCCTTTGCCTGAGAACATGTGTAGATGAAGTGTAACCGACGTTTCGGCAACTCACCAAGTCTGTTGCCGCTCTGCTCAATGCTATAGAAGCAACGCAACTGCGATGAACTGTGGTGCCTCTTTCGGCATTCACCAGCGGATGTCCTTTGCCTCCACAGCAGACTTGGCACTTCGTCCAGATTCTAGCCAACGTACCCACTCAGCTTAGGCTGCGGCCAGGCGTCGGCTTGCCTCCCGAAAACAAGCAAAGCAAGTTTGAAGCTTTCCTTGATGGGCGCTGCCTTGGTCGTGAACACCTTCCTGTGGAGGGCGCTTACCTTTCAAGGTGTTTGTCGAGAATGAGACTGAGACTGAGAGTCAGAGTGAGAGTGTGAGAGCGAGAGAGTGAGAGCCGGCGAACGAGCGAGCGCGGGAGTGAGGGAGGGAGGGACGGAGCCAGTAAGTACGCCAGCACAGGAGTGCGAGATAGAGACAGGGAGAGAGCGAGAACGAGAGCGAGAGCGAGAGAAGGAGACATGCAGACAAACAGCAGGATAGACAGACAGAACGAGACACGGGCAGTGCGACCCTTCAATGATACTTCCAGTCACCCTATCTCTCAACCTTACGACGGACTAGAACTCGACTCCAGATCATCTGCTGCTTCAACCAGCACATTCAAACTGTTACCCAGCAATCGAGCAAAGCATCTTGTGGTAAGAGTTGGGTCGAAGCTTCTCGATGCAAGGAGTGGTATGAAAAGATGGTTTCCCTTTGTCTGTGTTAGGCAAGGTGCCCCGCCCACCCCAGGACCGAGAGCAGGAAGAACATCTAGTCAATCTAGTCTCACGTGTTCAGATCTTAAGCATCCTGACATGCGATCGGTGCTTGATGTTAGGTCGCGGCACACTGAGGCAGACGCCGGGAGCTCTTGCCGAGAAACGACCCGCAGCACCCGGACCGGGATGGCTCGGCTCGGGAGCTGGGCCTGGCAAAAACGGCCTCTCTCTGCTTTGAGAAAGAAGAGAAGCAGCGGAGCATAGCGGAGCGGAAAACGAGGCTCGGGAGCCGGAATCGTCTTTCCCTCCGGGCAAAAGGGGTGCCTTTTTGGCTCTCTAAAATCACATTCTGAAGGCTCCCTGGCCTTTCCCGGTAGGTTTGCCCATTGCTCCACCTCATGAGAGGAAGTAGAGCATGCTTAAATCTTACTGTCTGCAGTGCTCCGGCTGAGGAACAGACCGAGCATCCCCTTCGCCGAAAAGCCCTTGGAGCCTGGCTCGGGAGGAGGGCCTGCCCAGGCACTCTTGACAGTTCGGCGAACATCTTCAGCTCACAACAACGAGGCAGCCTGAATCTCCGTCTTTGCCTTGACCTGGACAGGCTGCACTTCCAGGTTGGTGTGCAACACCCTGCGGAAGGGGCGGCCTCCTTTCGGCGTAGACTTGGCCATGGCTCCTCCTAGCTGGCCGAACAGAGGTCTTCTAGGCAACATGATGCAACGTGCTCGAGCATTTTTGATTCTTCGCCCCAAACCAAATTCATCTGAGGCAAAGACCCTTTGCCGAAAAGCGGCTGAAAGGTGTGCCGAGGCGGCTTGACGGTTCTGGAGGACCTGATTGGAAGACAGGGAGCCAAAGGAGCAGCCAAGCCGTTCGTGCGGGTCTCACGTCCGAGCCAGGAGCTAGAATTTTCGTCATTTTGCTCTAGACCTGCTCGATGTCAAAGGGAAACCCCCACCATTCTCTGCAAGACTCTTCTTGCGCGCTTTCGCCTTGCGGCGTGGATTTGCCAATGACCCCTCCTGGGCCACCGGCGAAAGCAATCATGGAAAACATGCCGTGTGTGCCCTGGAACAATACACAGTTAGGTGCAGCTCAGGCAACGACCCTGCGCCGAAAAGCGGCTGAAGGGCGTGGCCAGGTGGCTCGGCTCCGGAGGAGGGCCTGATAGGCACGTGAGCATCCAGGATGTTCGGATCCGCACGTCAAGGTCAGAAAACGGGGCAGCCGCCGGAATCCGCGTCTTTCCCCTGCCCTGGCCGACTTCACTTCCATGCTGTCAAGAGTGTCCTGTGTAACGAGAAACCCTTCATGGGGCTCATGCCACCTTTGAGTGTGGACTTGCCCAGGGTCCCGCCTGGGCAGGTCTTCAGGGATATGCATGGACTGCACAGCTTGCTGAAGTCTCGCGGTTCAGGTCGCAGCCGAGACCGAGCATCCCCTTCGCCGAAAAGCCCTTGGAGCCTGGCTCGGGAGGAGGGCCTGCCCAGGCACTCTTGACAGTTCGGCGAACATCTTCAGCTCACAACAACGAGGCAGCCTGAATCTCCGTCTTTGCCTTGACCTGGACAGGCTGCACTTCCAGGTTGGTGTGCAACACCCTGCGGAAGGGGCGGCCTCCTTTCGGCGTAGACTTGGCCATGGGGCCGCCTGTCTTACACATCTTCATGGGCAGCATGATTTGGCCACCAAGGGTCCGTAGACCGTACACGAACAGAAGGGGACGCCGTAGCCCCTTCTTAGTTGTTCTCTGCTGGTTGTGTTTCAGTGACCCAACATTAACAATTATGGGTTTCAAGCTACTGTCTTTAATATTGGCCTTCCTAGATCTAACATCCAAGATTGCAGTAAAAGGTTTCTTGGATCCCTAAACGAGATGCGTAGCCGGAAGTGAGACCGTGGCGAAAACACACTTGCGTGCTGGTTTCGGTGCACTCAACTGCAGGATGCCATGCTGGAGAAAGGTTCGTCGGCTGGGATGCAGACCCTTGGCCGAAGAACGGGCAGACCCGAGATGGCCGGGCTCTGAAGGAGGGCCTGTCTTGGCAAAACTCGCAAACGTTGAGGCCCTTGGCCAACGCCCGGGGCAAGAGCTGGAATCCGCATCTTTCCCTCCTTGACCTGGCACTTGTGAGCCGTCATGATCGTGCGACTGCGCCTCTGAGAAAGTTCGAATAAGGTTTGCGCTGCTTTTCGGCATGGATTTGCCCACGGCCCCGCCTGGCTGACAAGTTGCTGCGAGTCTCGCTCATGCACATACTGGACTCAACTTCACTGACCCTCAGCAGTCCCTGACGTTATGAACGGCACGTCGAGACACGTCCCCGCCTTTGATGGTGAACTTGATCGGAGGGCCTGGGTGCGGGTCAGCTCGTAGCTGGGCTAGGGAGTCGTAAGGACCCGTCTGCAAGGACTTGGGATCCGAACCGGGTGTTGACGCCGAGGACGCTGCAGTGCCTTGACTCAAAATTGCAGGTAGGACGTAGGTCTTGGCGAAACTCGGAGTGGGCCTTGCCCGATCGGCGATTCAGATTCCTGCGCGGAGAGGGGGCGAAGATTGTCAAGTGCTTGGCGCAGTGGCAAAAACGAGGATCTGCCGTCTTTATCGACTTGGTCGACAATCTCATGCACCAGCAGCCCAAGCAGCTTTTCACAGCAACGACCGGCGAATTTCTGCTCAGCGGTCTGGGATTCATACTTGGAAAGCATGCCAGGACCATCACTGAGCAGTTTTCGAGCATCGAAGTGTCGGCGAGCAATTTCCTCCAGGGCCACAGGAGGCAAGCCCAACAATACACAATTTAAGAATTTAAAGTAGGCTCACCAGTCAGTTCATCTAATTCGGGGCCTGGGCCGGAGAACTGGCTGAATTGACTCACCATGTCTTTTGATTCCTTTAGTTCGGGGCCAAGGCCAGAGAATGTCCTAAACTTTATTTGCTTTTCTGAGCCCGGGATCTCCCAAAAGCGATCCGATTTTTCGTCCATTTAATTCGGGCTGAGGCGACTAAACATAGGACACATCTAGTTAAATCAGCGCCGCCCCTCTGAGATCCCAGCCAGCTTAAAGAATTAGATGAGTTGAATGAATTGAAGGAACGAATTGAACTCATTGAACTAACTACTCACTTCGCTTCCTTCACTACTCATTGACTTATCTGATTCTTTTGCTTCGGTACGTAGGGCTGTGGCCAAAGGGGACCTCAAAGGGCCCTCTCACGTTGTAGTGTAGGGTGATTAAAATTGCTCTACTGCAGCTTTCGGATGCCGCAATCTTCCGCATCATTTGTATCAGCTCGGTTGTTGTAATCTTCATGTGTTGCTATCAATCGTCCGAGCAGAATCACACTCCAAAGTGCCACTCCTGCAGCTGCTTTGCCACTGTGGCCTGGACGAGTTCACGGCCAATCAAGACGCCTTGCAGCAGGATAGCAGCCAGCTGAGAGTCGATTCTTAAGCCGAAGGTGTTCTGGCCAATATGACAAGCTTCATGATGATAGAGTCTGATAGAGCGTGGAGCTACCTACATTTCCAGAAACTCAAAGCTGCAGCAATTCTTGCCTAGATGCGATTAACTGCAACAGAACCAGGACCAATGAGATGAAGCAGAGACTCCTTTGACTGCCGAATGCTCCGGAGCTCATGCATTGAATGGGTTCAACGAAAATGCATTTACATGCTGAAGCTGCGCTACAGCAGCCAGCCTCAAAAACTTGCTGCACAATGCTGGAAACAAGCCTAACGTTCGTCGGAATCTTACCCACTTCATGGGGAAGATAATGGGATTATTTCGCCGCGCAGGGCCCTGTATTCAGTACCGCGCAGGTCGAACAATGTGTGGAAAAGCAGACGGCCATCTCTTCGCCAGTGACAAAAGCTGCAAGCCAAAGTATTGGCAAAGAGTTGTTGACTTTTTCATCAGCATGCCCGAAATGCCGGTGAAGCACCGCAAACTGTCTTTGCCAAAGCTTGGGCTTCTAAACAAATCTTGTGCACAAGACCATAAATCTCCGCACACAAGCACGAGAACGCTTGCGCTAAGCCTTCATCATGGTAGCACCAACTCGCGACAGCTGGCCCATAGGCTTTTTACCTAAGATGGCTGCAGTTCCGCGTGTTGAATAATTGAAGCTGCTGAGGGCGCGACCTGGGTCAGGCGCCTTCGCACCTAAGGCGGAGCCACCTGCAAACGGAAAGTGGTGCGGAGCGCCTTGGTGAACTACGGGCCCCTTTCCCGACCTGCTGGTTTCCAGGCCGGCATGCCTTTGCGCTGTTCATCATGGAACATCGACGTGCCTGCAAGGAGCTTGATGGTTTCGGATTCGAACGCGAAATTCAGCCTTGACACAAACATCCTAATTCGTAAGCCATCAACCAACGAAAATAACAGAGAAACAGCTTTGAGGGGTCTGAGCCTAGGCCTGGTTTGTCTATGTTCTCAAACGTTCAGGAGGGCAGTTTCCAATGTGGAGCTGTCGTGCAATATCCTTCACAACTTGTAGCGGTGATGGATGAAGACAGATGGAGCACGGAATTGCTTCAGCACCTGCCATGAAATTTCTCCCATAACGAACACTTGTACCTGCGAAGCAAGCATTCCCTCCTGTATTCAGCGATTGCCCTCTCCCATTGCAGGCTTCCAGAAAATGATGAGGCAGCACCAAATTGCCAGCATATTCTTCCAGTGCGATTCCTCTTCGCTTTGTGGATGTTTCGTTTCTGAGGATTCTGAGCCTCTCATGATTTCTTGGGCGACAGAGGGACAACACTCCGCTTGTCGATGGTGTGTTTGGAAGAAGACAAAATAAGGAGAGTGCTTCCTCAGTTCAAGGAAATTACTAGTAAGTCATTCGCTTAGCTGAAGGCGGTAATATGCGGTAATTAAAGGCGAATGGAGACATAAAAATGAGCAGAAGCACGAAGATTCGCAAAGGACTAATCAATATAAGAAAGGGTGTGCAGCAATCTTGTGCAAGGCCCTTCGAAATCCGATTGGACAAGGTCATGTCCGTGCATTCGCCAAGAAAGATGGTCTTCCTCTTCTCTTCTGCGCCGGCTCTGTTCTCGAGAACCAACAGAGGTGACATGAAATGGCCGATTCTAGGAGCGGCACCTGCTCCAAAATGCAGCTGGTCTAAACTCGCTCCACAACTGCTGCACATCAATTGAAGACACCTACTGCCAAGACGTATAAGGTTTACCAATGATGCACAAAGCAAGCTGCACAAAAAATATGCAACAACACATATATCTCGTCATCGGTTGCGTCTTGCATGAAAAGTGGTGTGGCTGCTGTTTTCGCTGGAGGCAATGCCAAACTCTAGAATCTAGAAAGGTCGTCTTTTCAATCTTGCAGCGAAGCTTTCTGGGACAGGCCGTGAAGTGGCGCAAAATTTGGCTGCCGACTCGTGATTCGGCTGGCTTTGGTTTCCAGGCCTGCTTGTTAGTTCTTCTGCAGGGTTGGGTTTGAGGCAGACTGCCATTTTAGCCCTGCCTCGATCACTCACTGCGTAGGCGCGCTCTGGTGCCATGACCCGTTCCTGCGAAGAGCTGAGAAGCTGGGAGTTGCTACCAGTAGCCTTCCCTTTGAGTCCATTGTCCAACGGCGCCTGGCCTGATCCCAGGAGGCCAGGTCTTGCTGGGGGAGGAAGCGCGGCTGACAGAAATTTCGACCGCGGGCAGCGCCTGCGAGAGAGCAACAGAAGCCTTGCACTGACACGCGCTGCACTCTACTCTTTCGTCCTCGTTTCGCCTGCGAGAAACGGACGTCGTCCGTCGAGTTGCAGGTTGTATCGCACAGTGGCCCGTCCGCCATCCAGGGCTGCGTGAAAGCCAGAACCACGCTCATTGCATGGTGAGGGCAGCTGGTGGTGAAGCAGGTTCACCTGCAGGGTGTAATGAGCAGTACCACTGCAGACTGCCCACGAGAAGCAAGTATGTCTTATCTCAGACAGCCGTGGAAGCACCGACGCACCGGTGGACCGCACAAGGGAACAAACAATCGAGAATCACGCTGCCTTCTCCTTGTTGATTGCAGAGTGCTTCTTCATCAAAGGCACATATGGCTCCACAAAGTCACAGGCTCGCCCATGCAATGCCTCAGACAAAAGATGGCGAAGATTTGGTCAAGCCTGTGTCCAAGACCCATCGAAGAGACACAAAAGGCTTCCTCCAAGGCTCTGCTCTTGCATTCTCACCGCACATGGCAACCATTTCTCTATCCCAGGTCTTGGGGCTGCCTTGCGGAGTTGTGCAGACTAACGGCCAAGAGATCGGCTGCATGACTGGCAGTCTCCGCCACACGCTGGCAACCTTCTGTTGGTGTAGCCAGGGCACGCTCCTCCTCTTGAGATGTTTGGGCCACTGTGAGCTGCAAATGTACTGCATCCCAGTCCTAAGCCCAAAGCAAATCCGAACACGATGCGGCATGCCCCGCAATTCCTGTAGCCACATGTGCAGGCACGCTTCTTGCGCTCGTGGGGCCCAAGGAGCTGGCAGCACACGTCCTGCGCTCGAAGCACAGCTTTTCACAGTAACCTGTTGACCCAGCAGAGCCACGGGGGGAAGCCTTTGTGAGCATCCTTGGTTCTGGTGTCCAGTTGCCACCTTCGGAGGTATGAGCTCTCAAGCAAGATGATGCATCGTTATGGTCTGCTGGCACTCAAGCCCATGAGCTTCACGTCTGAACGGTGCCTGATGAGCGTCTCTCGTGACTTGGGCCGAGCTTCATGATCTTCATGGGCTTCATCCAATGCAGCCACCTTCGCCACCACCAAACAGGAACAAAACCAATGTCCATATGAGGACATACATAAGATTGTATCATGTAGTCATACGTCGTCTGCACGCATGCATGCATTCAAGTATGTGCACATGCTATCTGGCTAGCTGCTGCTAGCTCTCGTGGCATACTGCAGCCTCGGCAACGATCGCCTTGTCACGAGCTTCCTGTTTCTTGCGCAAGGCGGCCTAGGCAAACTGAGAAGGGATGCTCAAAGAAGTCTTGCCAGGCTTGCCGATTCTTGCATCCTCTTCCTGGAACCAGCGATCGGCCAACCCACTCCGTGCGTTAATCGTACGCATGTCTTTGCAAACATCCCATACAGGTAGCACTGGGTTCGAGTTGCACAATCAACATAAAATCCTTTAGCAATGTTCATGTCAGAGTCCTTGGCGCCAGTCTGCCGTACCATGACAAACAGCTGTGCTGGCAGGCAACTTCGTTCTTGCGGGGTAACCCACTCCACGTCCCAGTGTGAAGAGAAAACATTATTCCATGGCTCGAGGCAGTCAAAGCATCAACAGTCTCTAACGGCTCTAACATGGTGCTGGTTCAGAGAGGAGTCCATGTCAGGTTTTACATCCAACGCTCCACAGCACGTACAGTACAGACGTGCTTTCACCCGGCATGATCTCTCGCCACCTTACTGTACCTTCGATTACAAGAATCGACACATCGCTTCATGGCTTGGGCTAACTTGAGGAAAAGCAGCTGAAATGATACCAGAGACTGCTCGGCACAGAGAGACACAGACGCTTATCACGGTTCTTTCTACAGATCCTCATACTTATCACGGGTTTTCAAGGATACTCATGTTTTTCAAGGATTATCATGCGTACCACGGGATTATCAAGGATAATCATGACAAAGCTGCACCGTCAACAGCCTTCTCAAAGTGCCTCTACACTGATTCCGATAACTGATCATGGCTGATCCTTGACCCACGCGAACAAGATCTGCTTCAGGGGCAGATGCAGCTCAGACCCTGAGTTTTTGTAAGAGTGACGACAGTCACAACGGTGTTAAACCTGTCTATATGGAGACAATCGGACGAGTGCTGGCCCGCACATGTCTTCTTCGCAAAGCCAACAAGTCGTGAGACTCACACTACGGCTGATGCAAAGCTCTGTACCAGCCTCGGACGTCGGCTTCATGGCTCAGACTACTACGACAGGCTGATCATGCCGCCATTTCTAGCATCGGAGCCATTCATGCAATTGCTACCTGTAGTTGCAAACAGAGACTCGGAGGCTGAGAGGTGTTTAGCAGTCTGCACATGCTTGAGCACAGAAGCAGGCGACAGTTGCATTCGAGCAAGAGCCGACCTTCGACCCAGAACCAACGGCGAACAAGTGCGCACGGAAAGGCCTGAGACATGCACCAGCATGCAAGAGCAAGAAACCCTTTCAGGAAGGCGGTGGAACCGAACTGGAACCGCAACAACCGAACCCGAAAAAGGTTCCTTCATCGACCTGTGCCTCCACGGTCCACCTCCTCCCAGCCACCGGTGTTTCGGTTCCGTGCCTCCCAGCCTCTCCGGCATCACCTGTGCCGGCCTGTGCCTCTCCGGACATCTGTGCCTCAAGCCACCTTTGCCAGCAGCCACCTGTGTCTCCAGAAATTTTGCCTCCAGCCACCTTGCCGCCTCCACCTGCCTCTCCCACCCATCCCTCGTTCCACCAGGTAGCCGCCCCGACCTGCCGGCAAGGATGCTAAATGATGCTCCCAAAACGGGGCCGCAGGAGGCTGTACGGAGGTCTTTAAAACCCGAAACGCGGAGGAATTCAAATAATCTGTTTCAGAACAGTGTGGCACCAAGCCATCTCGGCTTCTTCTTGCGCGCTTAGGGGGCCTCCACATAGTCTCCATCGTGCACTTTTACGCAAAGGGACTCGATGTCCGAGCGTGTCCAAGGTGAACGAAAGTTAACCAGGTCTTTCATTGAGTTGACAAGGAGGGACGTTTGCTGCAACCCCCAAGCATGCTGCAACAGTAGTGAGCGAAAATGCAATTTACGCACACAGCGGCAGCCAGATTACACAGCACAAGATAGCACAAGCACAGATGGCGATGGGAGAACGCACCGACGGCTTGAGAGGCAGCCCCTTTCCAGGCTCCTTGCAGGACTTTATAGCAGCTCCAACATCAAGTAGCACGATGAACGTCGGTCATCTTGCCAAAGTGCCACTACATTCGGTCCTGCTCCCTGCGCCTTTGGCTGCTGATGTGCTCCTTCACACATTCGGCTCGTGCAACCGCAAATGACACACCCTGCAACACTCCACCAGTCAGCCTCGGAACTTTGTGTAGGGGGCGCTGGCACATCCTTAGCCAGGAGGCCGTTTGCGAAGCCTCCTACAAGTAATCCTAGTCCGAGCACTGCCTTGAGAGCATCCCAGAGGCAGCCGGAAACACTCGGCGCTTCTTTTGCTGCAAGCGTGTTGGCAATAGCAATGCCGTTTAGCAACATCACTTCTCGGTGCTGTGCCCTCGGAAACACACCAACTCTCAAGAAACCGATAGGAGTGTCCTGCGGGAACCGGCAACCTATAGTCGAGAGTCTGGAGGATGGACAAAGCACAACATGAGATCGCACAGGCCTTTTGCAATACTACATCCACGCCCACCTGCATCTGGGCACGTTCGCTCCGCTTTCGCGGTATGTGGCTTCTCTTGCTGACGGGTTCGCCTTCATTCAATTTTGGAAGGGGGGATATTTGCGGCCTCTTCCGCGTGGGACATTCCTTTCGAGTGGACTAAAAGCGGCATGAAATGATGCACGTGCACAGAGCATGCCGGCGTCCCTCAATGTGTGATTTTTCGTCTGGTGGTGCTTGACAGTTGCCCAATCCTGTCTCAATCGCGAGCGAAGTCTGCTCCAGCATCGCACAGAAGAACAAGCAACAGGTGGATCGCGAAGATTCTTGAAGTGCGAGGTCGGAGGCAGCCGAAGTAGCTGAGTAGCGGGTTTTTGCCACGGCTTCCGTCATCTCCAGCCCTGTTTTGATCGCTGCTGCCAGGGTGAGGCTGAGCGCCGGACACCCTGCGTTGACGAGCCGGAGCCGGGCTCCCGATCGCTTGGGAAGGACCTTCGTCCGAGCTGGGCCAGCGCAGTGCTTTGAGATATTTTCGCCATATTTTCTGCCTGAACTCTCTACATGAAGGATCCGACTCCTGCCGCAGTTGGCGTGTGAAGACGCTGGCATGGCTGTCCTCCTGACCGCCGACCCTGAGCAGCGTCAGTCAGTGGTGTGACACAACTCATCACAACTCTCACAAAGCCTCCGTGCTGCCAGACCAGAACCTCTTGCCCCAACCCTTTTTTGGTGCACCCGACCCGCCTGACTCGCCCAAGAATTGGTGGCGGTGCCTGGCACCGGCGACTTCGAATTGGTGAGGGAGGGGATGCAAAGCCCGGAAAGACGGAATCCTTCCGAGTCTGAACGCTTCCCAGAACCCGTCGCAGTCGCACACTTGCCTCTCCAGCAACCGGTGTTGCTGCAGCAGGCAACCTCAAAACTGGTGGGTGATGGCGAGAGCTCCTGCTGAAGTGAATCCTTCTACGAAGATGCTTGGCCCGCCGCGGAGTCCGAAACACACCGCGGCCACCATGACCGGGACCACCAGGACCTTGGAGACCTCATGGTTTCCCAAAAGGCTGCTCCTCATACCCTGAGCAGATGCCCCACACATCCCCAAGCTTCCTAAACCAGCAAGTTGGGAATGACGGAGCGGGTATCCGGCCCGTGGGCTTCGGCATCGGAGGTGCCGGAGGGGCGCCACTCCACCTTGCAACAGTCGCAATGTCTCTGCACGTGTGTCTGAAACCTGGCGGCTAGGCCAAGTCTCGTCATGCAAGCCGAGGATCGGACTTCTCAGCCGGTATGTCCTGTGCACAACTCGGCGAGTGGTAGCTCTCGCACTCCCCCAGCGAGCACCAACACAATTTCGTATCATTGACGAACCTACTGGAGGCTTCGTTTTCGTTCGGCGCGTGTCCAGCCACTGAATCCTACTGAGTAGTACTGCAAATCATGTTTTTTAAATGGAGGTTCATGTCTCTCTCGCAACAAGCTTCTGTGTCTGCCCCGATCTCGATACAGCCCAAGGGAACAAAAACCTTCATCGCAAAGCAATGCTACACTGCCCAGGAATTAGTCTGAACTTTGGACCGGCAACTCTATATGCAGACATAGTATGTGCCTCGCGACTTTCAAGATCTTCTGCATCAAGGTGGAAACAGTTCATAAGATGGTAAGACTGCGCAGGCTTGCAGGCCGCAACAGTCTAAGAGGAAACATGTGGTGAAAGCTACTCGCCCTACATCAGACTTTCCTGCTTCCAAGAGCCCCTAGCAAGCGCACTCGAGCAAGTCTAGGCAAGCTGGAAACGACGACATTACATTGGAAAACAGCCGGCTGATGCGCCAAACTGTATAGATGCTGAAGCTCCAACCCTCATTAGCGGTGTTCGAGCTCGGTCGCGTCCCGTGAGCCGTTGGAAACAATGACTTACACAGTTTGGGAAAAGGTACTCCTATCAGAAGCCACTTCTGTTTGAACTCGTTGCGCTTTACAGCTCGGGCACCTCGCCTTCAGGATATCGCTGCGCTCTCTTGGCGGACCTCGCCCAGGCACCAAAGGAAACTGGGGAATCCCTGTCGGTGTGAGTGCGCAGTGTTTCGTCTATCAGATCCAAGCTTCATAAGCAGTTGTTCCACCCTGTGGCTTGCTGAATCGCCACGTTCTTTGGTTACATCCCCTTACTTGGAGCCAAGTTCAACAAATCTGCCTGCTCGGGGTGTCAAAGAGATTTAATTATGCTGGTCTGGTCTTGTCGTCCCTGTTCCCTGTTGTTGGCATTTATAGCCCTGTGACTGCGGGTAGCGGGTAGCTCTGCTCTGACTGAGCTGAACCTGTAAACTGTCAAGTCACTCGGAGTGGAGTTTGCGCAGTGTCTAGCGACAGCAACCAGGCCTTCATCCCAGCCCCCAGGACGCCCTCTCCGCCTCCAAATTTCGGCGAGTGAGGTTTACTCCTTCTCTCTTATACTTCTCTTGTACCCATAGAGCCCCACATCCTATGCCGGCCTTTCTTTCTCCAGCTCCTCGGGCAAGCCTGTCAAAGTTTCAAGCTTCTAAAATTGTTGTGCTTTCTGCGGTCCGCGCAGCTCAGACGCGCACGCATCGCCATCCCACTTGATACTTTGCGTATGCCAGCAGCTTGCTCCTGCAGTAGGCAGTCACCCTGATGAATATCCGCTACATCTCGCAACTCGCCCAGCGCGGAAGCCTCTTTGCCAGCTTCGGAGTAGGTCGCAGGCCTCAAGCGCAGTACCCAGATTGAGTTCAACTGCAACTTGCAAACGACGGCGGTGCTTGCAAAATGGCTGAAGCTCTTGTCTGGAGCGTGATATCACGTGATTCGCAAGGCCTTCATTCTGAAATCTGCCAGTGTCTCAGATGGATTGGGAAAGTGGCTTCTCTCGCTGCTCCTTGTTGTCCGAGGCTCCTGCAAGTCGTTCCAAATTGTGCTGGGCAACCAGAAGCGCGCCACAAAAAACCCTCCGTGCAGCCATGCTTTCTTCTCCCTGCCTCTGTGCCGGGGATGCTCTGCCTTCTGCAACACTACAGGCATTGGCGCATCGTGGTGTGATTGGTTCCATCTAAGATCTTGCGCACGTACGATATAGCTGCACGGTTGTGTCGGCAAGTGATGTACATCATGGTTGGCGGCGTAGGATCTTGGTTCAGCCGTTGTCCCCTCGACTGAGTGGCCCACAAACATCGCGGTCACCTCCACGAGTACGCATGTGCACTCACACCAGCATTGCAGCATGTAACAGTTCCAAGCTGTGCACCTTGGGACTCGATTTTGGAGGGGGCGGAACAGGCCCAATCGCAATGGCCGTGGCCGTGCCCTTGGGCTTCGGGCCACCGGCCTTGGCAGTCGTGCCTTGGTTCCAAGTTCTCGCAAGTTGGGTCAGCTTGGGTTGCACTCGAATTGAGTCGTCCTACCTGCAGTGCACGGAGCAATCTCCAAGCTTGGCGGCGGTGCCGTGATCTGCGCCTGTCTCACTTTGCATAAGCTCGGAATCTTTGTCTCGTCGCTCTTTTCACTCAGGCGGACTTTGACAGGCGCTGGTGGAGGTGGTGCCATCATCGGATGGGCAGGAACCTGCATTCATGACGAGAAACTTCGTGCATGCCTCATGTGCACACGCAACACCAGCCTCGGCTGCTGGGGCACCTGCGCCCACAGCACTTCCGGGCTTGACTCGACTGGAGACTGCGACAAGACAAAAAAAAACAGAAAGTTGGCAAGACACAACAGACGTAAACTCTCCCGGTCGCCTGGCATCCCGAATTTCGGCGTTTCCTGTGGAAGCCCGCCCACCTGCTTGGGAGGCACAAGCAGGCGCGACAATTGCAGACAACTTGTCAGCTGCGTGGCAGTAGTGCGGCAAAGAAAAGGCCTGGAACGGCGAGTGCCGCACCTGGCCTTGCTGCTGCTGCTGCTGATGCAACTTTTGATGTTGATGCTGCTGCGCCTGCTGCCGATGCTGCGGCTGTTGCATCTGTTGCTGCTGTTGCTGCTGTGGCTGATGTTGAGATTGTTGTTGTTGAATTAAGTGTGTCTGCTGTGGTTGCTGCACATTTGCCTGCTGCATGTGGGCTTGCTGCAAATGCGCCATCTGCATTTGCTGCATCTGCGCCTGCTGCAGCTGCTGCATGAGTGCCTGCAAGCAAATCTTCTGGTGCAAGCTTCCGGCTCGAGCTCAAGCATCAATCTGAAGGCAATAAACCCGGAAGGTACCCTCGGTAAGACTTGCTGGACTCTCGATCATTATGTGACCCTATGTGATCTGGAGAACAAATCCGATTCATACGGAGACCTGGAATCGGGAAAGCTCTAGTCGCTGGCTTCCATGCAGTCGGAGGCTCGAGCGGCACATGAAAAACTAAACTACCCTTCCACAAGAAGGAGGAGCAAGTTCTAGTTCCAGCAGGAAGTCACCCAGCGCTCTGAGAGGTATATTTCGTACTGCTGTCCGATACTGCGCCACTTGCAGACAGGACCTGCAGGTGAAATCATGGCGTATCGACGGCGTGCAGGTTCTGATGAAAAGCTTCGCAGCCAGACACTGCCATCAACCGCGCGGCAACACTGAGCGATCGGGCCTGTTGTTGCATCTGGTGCTGCATTTGTGCTTCTTGCATTTGCTGCATCTGCAGCTGGGCCATTTGGGCCAGCTGCTCTTGCTCTTTCTGCTGCTGCTGGTGCTGCTGCTGCTGCTGCTGCTGCTGAATTTGCTGTGGCTGTGGCGGAGGTGGTGGAGGTGGTGACTGTTGGTGAAGTCCTTGCTGTTGTGTCGGTGTTTGCTGGTGCTGGTCCGTGCCTAGTACGCCTTTCTGTGCTGTGGCCGTGGCTCGAGTTTCAGCATGCGCCTCGTGCGCTCGCTGCTGCGTAAGTTGGGCTTGCAGTGCCTGGGCCGCGGGGGCACCTAGTTCTTTGGCGGCAGCTTGCCTGTGGCACCATTCGCAACTTGCTTGCTGGACATTTCATGAGAATTGCCATGCCCTGCTGGTTGAAGACAAGCAGCTCCAAAACAACCCGCTGCTCTTGAAAATGTTGCAGCTCCGACTGCAACCTCGGCTTCCGATCATGCAGTCATCCCCCTTCGCCTCTGCTTCCACAGAACACTTGTTGGTTCGATCACTTGGACGGGCAGGCCGTGGGTACCAGTGTAAACAGGCCCATTACAGGCCCTTCCCACAGCGAAAGAGGCAGCGAGCATCAGCGGGGCCGGGATAACTCAAAAAGCATGTGGTTTGCAGCAAGATGAGCATCAGCAGCCTCGGAACTGTCCTCACTAGACCTGGAGCAGTGAAGCTCGATACATCAGGAGGTTCGTTAGACGTGGCCGCAGCCGAGGTGCTGCGCCAACAAGTTCTGCTCTGAAACTGGCAACGTGGATAGGTCCTGAGCAAGCACAGTGCAAACGAAAGCAGTCCGGCAAGGTCTCCCGCACCTGGTTCTTGAAGTGCTCCAGCATGTTTTGACGCAGCTGTATCTCCTGGCCAGCAGTTGACAGGGCAGCTGCTCAGCTCTTCGGCCCTTCGAAGCGTCCTGAGCCACCCTCTGCAGGTTCTCTTGCAGCTCCTGTGCGACCTCTTGGCGCAGGATGCACGGCTTCGTCGGCTCAGATCGCTTACGGCCAAGAAGAGCTCCGGGCCCGGCCTGCTTCTGGTGCACCTGCTTCATCCTTGCAGACACAATCATAGCACGTGGGATCGAATTCTAGTAACCATACGACGAACTGCTTCAGTAGCTGGGGAACATCCAATTAAATATGGTGAACAAGGAGTCGGCACGTTTTGCTTCCGAGTCTCTGCTGCTCGATGAATGCTTTCTGCTGCTCGGGGTTCAATGCGACCTGATGCAGGCTTGCAGCCATCCGTCCAAAAAAAACACAAGTGCAGTGACCCCTCTGAGACGCAGTTTCTGACCAGGACAACCACAAGCGAAGCAGTGCAAGCATGATCCATTCAGCTGGCATACAAAGGTGCGGAACAGCCTCATCCCTACTTCTCCCACGCACCCCTACAGGTAGCGAGTGGCACGGACCTTCGGCTTCGCCTTGGGCTCTGCCTTCGGCTCGGCCTTGGGCGCCTGAACCCCATGGCCCCGCATGCTACAGAAATCTACAGAAGGAGCACAGACAAACAGAGACATGTGCGAGAGGGCCTGGACCACGAGAGATGCTGCAGGTGCAGACGAGGCGGCAGAAAGCTGCGCATCCTTGGCCTTCCTGCGGCGGGGTCAGTGGAACCCTCAGGCAATCCAACAGCGTTGCGAAACTTGCACTGGAAATGTGGCATCTTTTCCGCCAGCTGTGCCCTGAACTGCCGGTGCAGTGCAGCTCACTATAGAGTAGTAACTCGTGAGGTCAGGAAATCTCGAAACAAGTCTCGAACGCAAACTGAGCCATGGATCACCTGTACCTTGTCTCTGACTGCTACGTTACATTCCCCGTCTGGTGGGGGGCTTGCCATCCTCACCGCGATTTGAACCCATACCTTACATTGCAGTGTGAACACGTCTTCGCAACGTGTAGCGGTCGTAAGGTGCACGCTTCTTGCGCTCGTAGAACAGATCTGTCCGGGCAGTGCCAAGGTTGACAATCTTGGGGCATCCATCTCGATCCTGCAAAGCTGTCCGCGTTTTGGCATAGCGCCGACGACTCGGTCCCTGGGCCTGCCTTCTCGCATTGGCAACACTCCTGCAACCAGTACGAAACATCGAAGCATCAGTCGAAGCGGTTCGGACGAGCAACGAGGACACATGTTAGTGGACTGCGGTCTTGTTGAAAATCCTGACCTTGGCCCAAGCCTTGCTCTACTATGGCCCCTAGAGTGGGCCAGGACAGCTACACTAGCTCAGCCCGGACATCAGGAACTTTCTGAACACCATCTTGTGCAACATCCTTGCAGTAGAAAGCATCGGAGATGCCAGCGCCACCGCAGATGACGCAACGACCCTGGTAGCTTCCTGCGAAGCTTGACACAAGCTCCTGACTGCGATTGAGCGGGAGGCAGGGGCGCACCGTAGTTGCACTCGTCACAAACTCGAGCAAGCTGGCTGGGTCTCACCTGCCAGTTTCATCATGTAAAGAACCGTACCCAACCGGATGTTTGCAACTGAGCCCGACGCATATGAGTCACAGATCACGCATTTGCCATCGCACTTCTCGCACAAGCGGCCTCGAGCGCACAGACTTCCCGCATCCAGACAGAACATCAGCATTGCGATACTGCAGAAACTCAGCTCGGTGCCAATGGCGATACCACATTGCTTTCGACACATGATGAGGTCAGGATGATGCTTCGCCATTCCTGGAAGTGCCACTGAAATTAAATGCCACTGCATGAGGCCAACCGCGACGTTGCGCATCCTGCCTTAGAGGCTCCTGTGCGCTTGAAGCCACAGAGCGCTGACAGAGATGCCCCTCCTCAAAACTTCCTGACTCCGTGAAAGCTCGAGCCCAGAAAAAATGCAGCCACTCATTACTCAGCGCCCGTCACTTACGAGTCCTACATGTCCTACGAAAGGCGGGGCACGTCCAGTCCTATTACGACCGACACGCATGCTAGAACCGATCGGGTGCTGTCTTGAAGTGTGACTGGCTCTAGCAGTAGCAGCTGGAAGCTTCAGATGGCACAGCACTGTGCATAGAGCAGAGCACGGCTGTCGCACCCGGCAGATGCTGCAACCTCTCGCGCCTCGAGACCATGCTACAACAGCTGCAATGCCGACCCAGACTTGCTGCAACGCTGGGCGCCTTGTTGATGCCCTCGATGAACTTTTTGAAGTACGTGGTCAATGCCGCCTCTGCAAGATGGTGCAGAAGACGGAAGCAGAAACTCCTTCGCACCACCTCCTTGAGGTCATCTCGATGGCCCTTCCACAGAAGTAGGAAGGCCGCCGGATCTTGATCGGAGGCCTCCCAACGCTCCACCTGCATTTTGACAATCCCGGCAGAGGTACACAGCGTGAACAACAGAGACTAGGGCGGTGCCTGGACTCCAAGGATGGACTCCTGCTGTTGCTCGATGATGGCTCTCGCAGCTGATGCCTGGCAGGACTTCTCAAGACGCACTGCCCCACGATGTCCCATAGAACTCTCCATGCCTCGTTCAATGTGATGAAAGCCATTGGATGCGTCTTGTGCCGCTCTACTCCCAGCAGCTCCACCTCTTGTTTACACTGCTTCTGCACTTGGAGACATGCCGAAACCACGAAACGTCCCTGGTCCCCTGCACCTTGGTGTCCGGAATCACGGTGAGCCTGGGATTCTTGTGAGAAAAACTCCATCGCAACATGCAGTCGGGGAAGCTTCTTCGAGTGCGATACGGGGAAGCAGATTGCGTGTCGACGGTCGGTGCCTGCATTTGCTCCAGGGCACGATGCTCAAGGCCGAACGACTCAGCATAGCCTGCAAACCTGAAAGACTTACACAATACTTTGCACTTTCCAGCTCTCCGATGTGCCTTTGTCGTTTTCGTCTGCCCATCATCCTTGGCAGCCTCTGTTGCATCCATCTTGTGGGAAGCCTCCCTGGCCGGAGTGTTGCCATCCAAGGTGCCAGAGGATGGCATCTTTTCTGGGGCATCTTGCGCAACACCAGCCGTCACTTTGGAGTCCAGTTTGACAGCTTTGTCGCTCTGCTGGCTGTCAAGCTGAAGCTTATCGTTCTGCGTCTGCACACTTTGCTGCTTCGCACTGGTGCCCTCGTCCTGGCTTGCACCAGGAATGCCCTTTGTTGCACCCGCCATGCTCTCGCCGTCTTCCTTGGCGGGCTTGTCCGTCTTCGCTGGGCTATTCCGGTTCAGAGCCAAGGTGTCTTCGCTCTCCAAGCTAACGCAGGGTTGCTTCGCATCAAAACGAGGGTCTGTCACACCCGTCTTCCGAAAGGCGTCGTCTGGTTGCACAAGAGGAGCGACTTCGCTTGCAAGCTTGTGCAGCGGTTTTGAGGCCTGCTCCTTTCCTCTTGGCATGCTGTTTGTGCCAACATCCGCTTCAGGCTGCAGTCGCTGAGAAGTCTGCAAGGCTCGGTCATTGTGTGAAGCCTGCGATGCTCCAGTTGTGCAAGGCACATCGGCAGAGGCTTGCACCTTTTGCCGCTCATCCTGCCCTGCATGTCGTTGACTGGCACCTTCCCGGCCAAAGTCTGTCGGCTTCGGGCTGGACACTTCATTGCGGTCTGTGCCGTCGCTCACGGTCTGCGAACTGTGCCGTTTTCTAGCAGGTGACTCCTCGCGATTCATTCCGGCAGAGGGCTCGTCCTTCGGCACAGTGTCCTCTTTCACAACAGACACGCGTTGGCTGCCGACGTCGGCAGAAAGCAGTACCTTCTGCGATCCGTCTTGCTTCGGAGTAGCTGCACCGTCCTCCTTCAGCCGCTCTGGCGTCTGTGCTTGCTGCACACCATCTAGCTTCGCACCTGATGTGCTCTCACGATCCACCGCAGCGTTGCCGATGGAAGCCTTGCTGTCGGTCTCCAGGTTGGGTTGGTCCTTGTCACTCGTGCGTAATTGCTGGAGAACAAGATGAGTTATTGAGTTCACTGCATCCCAAAAGCAGCATGCACACCGCCTTCCAAGCCAACGACGAAACTCCCAGGTCTTCTTTGCCAAGTCACCCTTGCTCGAAGCTCCAATCGTGCTGCAATTTTCCTTGCTTCCTCAAGAGCCGCAAGTGACGTCAGCTGCGCCGCAACCTGCGAAATCAAAACGCATGCTTGCGCACACCGCCAATAGGCAGTGTAACCGCTTGTACTGCTACTGCTAATGCCACTACCGCTGCCGCTGCTACTGCTCCTGCCCGTACTACCACTACCCACTATCACGCCGACTGCCCCTGCCCCTGCCGCTGTCGCTGCCACAGCAACTGCGGCTGCCACAGCAACTGCGACTGCCACTGCCACTGCGATTGCGACGGCGACTACGACTTCGAGTACCACTACGACGACTACTACGACGACAACTATGACTGCTACTACTGCTACTACTGGCACCGCTGCTACTGCTCCTACTACTGCTACTACTGCTGCTACTACTACTACTACTACCACTACTACTACTCCTGCTGCTGCCACTACTACTACGGCTGCTACTACTACTACTACTAGTACTACTACTACTACTACTACTACTACTACTACTACTACTACGACTACTATGGCCACTTACTTCTACTTGTACATGTTGTTCTGCTCCTACTTCTACGTCTACTTGTACTACTTGCACTACTTGTACTACTCGTACTACTCGCACTACGTGTACTACCTGTACTACTTGTACTACTTATGCTGCTTGTACTGCTTGTACTGCTTGCACTGCTTGTACTACTTGTACTTCTGCTGCTGCTACTGCTGCTGCTGCTGCTACCGCTGCTGCTCCCGCTCATGCTCCTGCTCCTGCTCCTGCCCCTACCCTCCGCGTACCCCTACCCCTACCCCTACCCCTACCCCTACTCCCACTACTCCCACTACTCCCACTACTACTACTACTACTACTACTACTACTACTACTACTACTACTCCTGCCGCTGCTGCTGCTGCTGCTGCTACTACTACTACTACTACTACTGCTGCTACTACTACTACTACTACTCCT